TGCATGTTACTTCTGGTGTTCATTTGATAATAATCTAAGATAATTCTGTTTATAAAATGGGAGGTAATGGTCCAGTTGAGTTCATGAGTTGAATTCGCTGCCCTGCGATCAGCTGAATTCCAGAGAAATCTCAAGCAAGGGAAGGTCAGGGACAGACCTTGATGAAAAGAAATAAAGTGGAGGAAAACAAAACCTACTTCTCCAGTGGCAGCAGCAAACTGTTCGTGAAATAGCACTGTTAAAGACAGCTTACTTTTCTCTAAATTTTGTCCCTGTATAGGCTGAAAGGAGCTTTTGCTTTGGAAGCATACCTGGCCTTGAGCTTGTTAAAAAGGTGTTTTGCAGTGCATCTGAGATGCCAGTGTGTGGTGCCTAATTCTGCTGATGTCCAGGTTGTATAATTTATCAAAATACTGAGGAAAACAGTCAGAAACGCTGAGAAACCAGATGCTTGCAGTTAAGAGTTCACTAGAAATTTTTCTTGCTTCAGATCTTGACCAAAGTTCAATGCCTTACTGTAGATCAAATTTCTCATTTAGTCCACGAAGTTTTGAGTCTTTTAATCTATTTCTAAATGATTAGAAATATATTAGTGGTCTTATATTTTTGATCACTAGAGGCCTGTCTGTAAGAAAGAGTTAGTTAATAGCTGAAGTATTGTCTCTTAGTGAGACTGGTCTATGCACACAAATCATTATCTCCCATGAGGTGATGGCCTTTATCTCTGGCTAGTTATGGCTAAAGCCTTTAGGGAAAATTTAACTTAATGTCACCTTGTAGCTATATAGATAAAAGCTTGTTCTGTTAAAGTGCTGCTGGTCCTACAAGCATAGTTTATGAATCCCCCGTATTCTGGAAGAATATACAGAAGCTGGCTCACAACTTGGAAGCATATTTGTAAATCATCCTATGCTTATTGCAGTGCAGAGAACAGGATGCACCTGTAGAACTTTACTGTCACTCCTGTATAATGTAGCTAAACCAAGTTAACTGTACTGAAAGTCTGTGGTATAGAGGTGGGAAGATGACCTACAGTACTGGTATCTAGTCCACATCTTTACGTATTAAGAACTTCCAAACACTGTTCCACTGTTGTCCTCTAGCCCCGTGGAAGGAACTGGGAGTTCTACACAGTAAGGTGCCAGCCCTTGAGTTTCTAGATATTTTAATTTCTTATATTTCACTTACTTTTTTGTGCAATTTTAGTTTGAGGGTGACTTTATAGGGTTGGGAGGAGTTTGTGTAGACTTGATATTCTGTGTGGCACTTTATCTCTACCTATCAAAGCGTGTTACCAGCAGATATATGTAGTGCATAATATGTCATCTTGTCTCTCAGATCAGTTTGTGAAAGCAAAAACTTTGAAGACAACTTCAGCCCTTTACCCGTGCCTCAAGTCCATACTCTGAAAGAATAAGTCTTTTAGAGTTTTCTGGAAAAATTAATATTAGGATTGTGCAGGAAGTTAACATTTGAAGTTAACATTTTCCAAAACTGGTAAAGTGTTTTGGGGGGAGGGCATACTTCTTGAATACCTTCTCTCCGCCCCTGAAATGGCTATCTCCTTTTAATAACTCAGACTTCACAAGTATTTTCTGTTACTTCTATAGTTAACTAGTGGAAAAACCTTATTTTCTCTGAAGTTACAGGTATCAAGTGTACTGCATCATAGCTACTGGATTTTTTTGGTGTTCTTTTTTTATAAATAAAATTTTTCTGTTACAAATGAAGACAAACTACAGGTTGTAAGCTGTTAATTCTGAGTACTTTAAGGCACATTAAAGTCTGTAATACTTTTTTTGAAAATACTTTTCAGTAACATTGATTTTAAGATTTTGTAAGAAATATTAAAGTGCAATTAGATCATATTTTTAAAATCGACACATGCTTTCTTGAATAAATCTAGAGTAAAAAGCTGGCTGCTGATTGTTATTTAGCAAACTTCCTCTTCAGGGCTGTGGTGTGTCCATGTTCCCATTACTATGTGCTGGTAACAAAAACCGGAACCACACCCCATTGTATTACTCTAAATTCACTTTTTTGGAGTTGATGGATTTTTCTCCCTGTGTTGATCTTGTTAATGAAAGCAGCTGGTTGTTGGAAAGTACATGACGAACCCCCTCAGTATCCTTGACCAGGCCTGGAAGCTAATGAGGGGAGGTTAATAGGCAGCATTGTCTTCTGAATGAATTGATGAGATACTTGACAGCTTTGTATATTAGCTTTGTTTGTTAGATTTATCGGTACACTTAACACTGCAAATTAACTTCTTGTGTTTAACAAGCTTCTTCCATACAACTGAAAAGGCAAATGATTGATCACAAAACTTCAAATATTAGTGAAATGCATCAGAGTGAAAGTGGCAAGTGTGATACCAAAATGGCAACAAGCTATTTAGCACCACCCACCCACCCCCCTCCAATTCAGTGAACTGTCAACATAGGGGTACATTGTTAGCATGTTTATAGCATCACTTCTTGCTCTGGCATTTGGAGAGTATAACTTCATACTTCCTATGTGTTTGTGAGGTTTCAGTTAAATGCTTTGTCAGGAACTTTATGGTCTTGGACATATGGTGCAGCAACCCAAGTGTTCAGATAGATCCACCTCAGTAGAACTTAGATGTGTGCTTACATGAATTGAAGGCTAATTTACCTATGTATTGTTTGTTACATTATAGTTGTTGATGATGTGCCCAGTAGAATATTAAATACACATCTCTACTAAAAGAGCAAAAGAAGGGGAGGAGGGTCATCATGCAAAACAAAGGGCTTCTCTGCAGTGTTAGTACCACTGATACTTGTCTGTCTATGCCTGAAAATAAGACAGTGTCAGTAGCAATTTCCCTGTCCTGAACTTTCCACAAGGACAGATGACCAGAACTAGGTGTTTATTTTCAGGTTATGTATCTTCTATCCTTGGCTCTTTTTATTATTACTACATGTCCTTGTGAGCCATAGTTTCAGTTTTGACTGTGAATATGACCTTTTTCTCATTCTTTTCCATTCCCTTCTCTTCTGCTTGCAAAACTAAGAAAATGCGTTTAAGTAGAAGGCTGTCTGTGTGCCAGGCAGTTACTGGAAGTCATTTTGTGTTTCAGTCCTACCCACATTCAGCAGCTCTTTTAAGACCACTCTTAAACTTTTGCCTGCTGCAAGAAAGTTTTTTGGAAATAGTATACTTGTAACTGGCACTACCGCCCAGAAGGCACACATAGCTTGACAGTACAAAAGTAATAAACATAATTTTAGATTATAGTAACTTTGAAAGATGAGGGTGTCACTGAGGAGCATTTTCATACTGCATGCAATCTGTGGCTCAAAGAAAATGGAAAATTTCATCTCAGTGCTGTTACTGACAATGTAAAGTATATTAACCTTCCCAATGCTTCATGTCTTGTGCTGTTAGTAAAACTGAAAAACCTGTGGGCCTTTTCCTTGTCAGAGCTGAGGGCTGGGAAGTGTGCTTTGACATTTTGTAGAGAGCAGAAAAGAGCAAGAACTGACCTGGCTTGAGCAATACCAGAGTGCATAAAACACTCTGCTGTATGATGTGGAATGCTTGCCTCAAACTTTATTAAATGCAGATAAACTTGCCGTTATGTGTGAATTGCATTTGGTAATAACCTTAGGATGTTGTTACCAAAGACTCATCTTGCCCTTATGTATTGTCTCCATCCATCAAGAAGGAAAGCCTAACTTTAGGAACCCAGAAAGACATTTTATTACAGTCCATAGAACCTTTTTTTTTAAAAAAGAGTTATTTGAAGACCTCGGTCAGGAAGCTCTTAACACATAACATCTCAAAATATTTTTCTAGGAGTTGATTAGTTATGTAAATGTGTCTTCGTACTGCCTTGGCAGTATCTAGCAAAAATGCAAACAAAAATATTACCTATACCATATAAGTGCAGTGGAAGGAAAAGTCTGTGTGATATGACAGCAAAGCTAACTCAACTTGCTTTTTAAAACTGTGCTCAAAAATGAGCTTTGATTTGTGCATAAATATAAGAAAGTTTTGTTCTGAAAGATCATGGTTATACCTGTTAGTTGTTTCTAATAGGTCTCTTGTCTCTGATCCTACCCCCCATCTGTCAGATCATCTTTTTACATTGTCTTTGTCTTAATCTTTTCCTATAAAAAGAAGTTACTCCAAGTGAGCTGAAAACTTTATGTTAAATTTACTTTTAAGGAGGTGAAGAGAATTGGCTAACAAAAATGTGATTAACCATAGAAACAACTCAGCAATAGCATATATGCAGTAAATTAACCATTTTCTGGTACTTTTGTATTTGATACAAAACATAGCAACAAAACGATAGCTTGACAACAATAGCAGCTGCACATATTTTTCTTCCTTTTTTGAAAGAATGTTCTTGTGGAAAAAATAGATTCCCTGGAAAGTAATTTATATTACAGGTTTTATCACAAATTCTGTGGGTGGGTACAATAGTCTAGAAATTAAATTAGTGATTTGTATAATAAATGATGGTTTTGATTTGATATGACATTTTTAGTCTATACGAAATGACATAGCTACAGGCAATAGAATAATATCTTCCCCTTGTGAAGATAAATGTTGTATCACACCAAACCATCTTATATTAAATTATAACTTCCCTTTTTTAACATATGAAAGGATTTATGAGACTGTTCATTAAATAATAGCACAACCCAGTTAAAAGGGTACTTTGACCAAAATGTCCTGAAGATATTTTCTAATGTCAGGCATGTAGCTATTTTATATAGGGTACTGCCATAAGAGGACTGATCCAAATAAAGGAATTTTCCTTTATGCAGCAAGTGGTGTGATTGTGGCCACACTGAGCTAGAAGGTGCTTTTCTTATGTCTATTAGACTGAAACCCTGAAAAGCAAATGAAGTATCCTAAGAGGAATCCAGTATTTTTGACTTCTATTCTTGGGGGAGAAGAGGGATATGTGTGGCTCTTCTTATGCAACTTAATTGTGCTCATAAAGTTGGTTTTTTGTGTCTTGGTAGAGAGAAGGAGCAAGAAAGGGAAGAACAGTTAATGGAAGACAAGAAAAGGAAGAAAGAGGAAAAGAAAAAGAAGGAATCTGCTCAGAAGGTAGGTATTTGGATTCTTTTATCCAGCTGGAACGTATATAGCATTGGGGGTGGTAAGATGTTAAGTAGTTTGTATTTGAGCTTAGAAACGTGATTGTTTAGAGTGATGCTTCATTGAAGACTATTTTTTGTATCATTTTTCTTCAGCCTAGGTGTTTAACTTAGACACTTCTCCTTAGTGTTTCATGTGAAGTAAGCTTTTGGGTATAAAGTATTGAATATGGGCTCTCTTAATCGGTGCAATTCCTGCTGTCTTGAGGTGTTTGGAGACAAAAAATACTGCTGGGGTTTTGCAATTCTTGCAGTAAAACTGACTAAATATTTTCTAGAGCAAGATGACACTTTTTTGTAAGTCCTTAGGGAAGTTCATATGAAATATTTACTACTGATGGTTCCTTTTATTTTTTGTGAAATATCACTTAGGTTTTACATTTTCTGTAGCTAATAGCACTTTTGCTGAGTGTATCAGTGTGAGCCATGGAGAACTGAGAAGTCACTGAGAATTGGTTTTGCTCAGAGAATGGACTGGAACACTTGGTGATTTAGAAGCTCTCTATTTTGCTGAAAATCTAGTAGATAGAAACTCTAGGATGTCACCTGACATATGAACTTGAGTCTCTTGCAGCTTTATCTATGCTTTTTGCTGGTAAAATGGTTTCTGTCTTAATTCTGGGCTTCCCAGTACAAGTCCAGATGTAACTATCCTGTAGTGTGTACAGCAAAACGCCCTTAAAATGATGAAGGGAATGAAGTATCTGACCAATAAGGAGAGGCGGAGAGAGCTGAGACTGTTCAACCCGGAGAAGAGAATACTCAGGCAGATCTTATCAATCAATCAATCAATCAAGGTATATAAATAGATGGCAGCTGGCTCTTCTCAGTGGTGCCCAAGTGGCAAGGCACAAGACATTGTGAACAAATTAAAATACAGGAAATTCCACTTAATCATAAAAAGACTTTTTTTGTACATATGTATGATTGGGCCACCACGGAAGCAGGTTTCCTGGAGAGGAGGTGGTGGTGGTGGAGATGCTCAAAACCAAGTTGGATGTGGCCTGGTGCAATCTGTTTTTGATTACTTTGCTTTGAGTTGGGAAGAGTCCTGGGAGTGGATGGGGAACAGGGGTTGGAACTATGGACTAAATTTCCAGAGGCTGTCTCTTTCAACCTCAATGATCATGTGAAATTGAGAGCAGAAGGCTTTACTTCCTTTCAGTAGTGTCTGTTTTTTCAGTTGCTTTGGTAACAACAGATCCCACAAAAGTCAGGCATTGCTCTGTGTTATATTCTGCAGGTTTTTGCTAAGAACAGACAGCACTCATTTCAGTTAAATTTTGGTTTATCTGGGGTCTTTTAAAATCTTGGCTTTTTCACCAGTGTGAGTCTTTCAGTTTAAGTGAGATGTGAATAAACTGGTGTATTTCTGTTGTCTTTATCCAACCATTGTGTTGATGCATCCCTAATAATACTGCAGACAGTCAGTAGCTGCAGAATAAGGTTTCTTCAGAGTCTTTTTGCCTCTGTGATGCTGCTGTTTAGTGTTCATTTACAAAAGCTATAGGTAGGAATCAGGAGGGGCAGACTCTGGTGAATAGACTAGTGACTATATGCTGATATTCAGTGATACAAGAGAAATTTGGGAAGGTTATACCCATCATCTTGATAAGTGCTGTGTGAATGTTTACTGAGAAATCTGCTTTGAATACAAAGGAGATTCAACAGCTTTTCTGTGTGGTCCCTCACCTAAGTTCTTCAGTATGATTGAACGTTATACTTTTGCCAAAATCTTGGAAAGGGTAAACACTAAATAAATTAATCTCCTACTGACCAAACTTACCGGTAATAATTGGAGATATTTAAGAGTAGCAAAGCAGGCAACTGAAAGGACAGAACATAAACATACGTGTTTGTTCTTAGTGTCTGTAGTGGTGTTCACCAAATAAGCAGTAAAGATTTGGGGGTACCTTTTTCAGACACAGTTTGTATAACATGAAACAATTGTTTCTGTCTGGATCATCTGAAACTAAAAAAAAAATTTAAAAATCACTTCAACGGAGGCTATGCAAGCAAATTCACAGACTAAATTCTGTGGTTGGTGTCCCAGGGGCTGTTTGGTAGCTTGTCAGAAGGCTATTATTACATTCTACGTTCTGTTCACTATAGCTGCTCCTGCCCTGCTGATGCTTGTAGATTGCACAGAGATGACAGCTGTAAATCTGAGACATTTTCTCAGCTTTTGTAGACAAAAAAAAAAATCACAAAACCAGATCATTTTGACTAGGAGAGAGATACATTATAGGCAGATTATTTTTTTTTCTTCTTTCTCCTAAAGCAAACCTGTGGTTATGTAGAATTCTTTACAGATTTGGTAAAATGGGGCTCTTCCAAGTAGAGAACATACTCATTTACTGAACATGTTTACTGTTGACTGTAGTAAGGATATCAGCATTACCAGATTGGATTAATGAATATTTTCTTTCCCTCTTTTTCCTTTCATAGCGTATCATCAGACTCACTTAAGTGCTTAACAGAATTTTTAACTGTGTTAAAGAATAATGTAATTTGATGTATACAGGATTTCTCATAGATGAAGTGAAAATTCATGTCAGGCTTGGTACAGACACAATTTTGGGACAGGTGCATTTTTAGTGTCTTGGATACTTTTGGATTAAATAATTCTGTGAAGTTGTGATGCTTAAGATTTTTGTATTATAGTGAATGTTGCACTTTGCATATTGTAGTGTTCATCTTTGGAAAGTAAATGATGCCATAGCAATTCGGTGCAGTTTGTCTTTTTATTCTTTACCATACAAAAGAGTTCTGGCTTGGTTGATTTAAACAATAAACTGCTTTTTACTTGTGCTTTCATTATTCTATACTGTCACTGTGTGCTTTCCAGAATTATGGACTAGTTCAGCAATTTCTTTTAAAGAATAGGTGTCATAGAACCTGACACATGATGGTCTTTAGGGTCTTTCCATTATTTTGTAGTGGAACTCATGATCAACAGGTTTCAAAACATGCTACAGTATACACAATTCCAGAGAATATACCAGTAGTATGTTTGTCTCTACAGTAGCTTGAAATCTGTTATGCTAAAAGAATGTAGAAGTACAGCAAAACCACATATTGAGTATGTCGGCCAGTGTGATGGCTCACTTCGGTAATCAATTTCTTACTGCATTCAAGAGATGTTGAAGCCTGGTGCTTTATGGGTATTGCTGATGCTTTCTGTAATTGTGGCAATGAATCTAGTGAGATTTAGGATTTTTTCTTGGAAGAGATGTCATGGGAATGGTGAAATGGGAAGATGGCAGAGAAAAAAACTGCTACTTTCACCTGTGGGAATTCTGTTGCTAGTCCCAACAGTCTGCTGTAAGGATACTCTCCCAGAAGGAAACTTTTGTTACACTTTAACACTTCACCTCCAAAATCTGAAAGAATTGTAGTGCAATAGCACATGTTTGTTTGTGCTTTGGAAGTCTATGTGGGATGAGGAGAGGGGTGAATACTAAAAATCAACATGAGCGAAATAATTACTGTTCTGCCAGGGAGCTTTGCATCAGGCAGAGGTATTATAGGAGTGTAGTGTTTTTCAAAATTTAATATATATGACTGGGAAATAAATACTGTTTAGACTTGTAGTTTATCAGGTGATTATCTTCATGCAACAACAAATAACTGTTCTTGTGCCAGTGAATTAAGGTCATGATTTAGCACAGCCTGTTCAGTGTTTGTTCTGATGTTCTTAAAACTCTTGCTTACATTCTTGCTCTTAATTTGCAGGTCACAGATCAAAAAACCAAAGGTAAGAATCTTTGATCCTAAGGAGTAATTTTTATTGACTAGAGTCAAGACTCGAATCTTGATCAAAACTGTTGGAAAAGGAAGGGGAATTAGAGTCAAGATGAAATACTTAAGATGTGTATTCAGAAGAAATAAAAGTTGAGGTGTTTTAAAATGGAGAACCTAAAACTATCCATGTTGATAACATCAAAATACTTGAAGAGGGAATGAGAATTGTGGATAGAATAGGTTAGCAGAAATACTTAGTTTCCAGTTTTGCAAAGGTTTTGGACAAGTAACCAAAAACTGAAACCACCTACATAAATGGAATGGAAGAGAGGGAAAGTACTGCTTATGGTGATGGACCAAAATGAGTGAATATTACTTGGTTTTGGAAATGTAAGTTTGGGCAACTAAAAGTCCAGTACATAAGGCAGAACTGATGAGTGAGCATCTTGAAAGTTAAGCTTATTTAACTGATCTAAAAGTATATTTAATCTGGATAGGTGTCAGTTTTCTAAAAATTGGTGAAATTGCCATTATTGACAGAAAAGAACTAAGATAGTAACTTGATTTTACAGCTAATACCACCCCTTTTTTGAGGGGTTTTGGGTAATAAACCCTACATAGAGAAATAAGAAAACCCTTATAAAAATAAAATGGGGGGAATAATGCATTCGTGTTGCCAAAGAGAGACTCATTTGTTTTGATCTCACATCTGTAAGAGAAAAAGATTTACTGATTATGTTCACTTTGCTAAGGAGGGGTTTCTGGACATCCCTTTCTTGTATTAATCTTTAACAAAGGCTAGAGTATATGTATTAAATCTTCTGTACCTTTGGAGTCTTAGTAATTACATCTTCTAAGTCCCTGGCTAGGAATTTCTTTTGCTCTGTTCTAAAAAAGCACATGGAGAATGGGAGTAAGGGCTTACAAGTCTAGAGGCTCTTGAGCAAATTTTGTGATGGTGTTAGTTCCTCAAGGATTTATTTGTAGGTTTCCTCATCTCCAGTGCATAATAGCCCTCAAAAGCAGCTTGTCCTTGGTTACAGGGGCACCTGGTGACCAGCTGGGAAACTTTAGGCAAACTCAGTACAGATCCTGTATGTAGGACTGGATTTTGGATGAGAGTCAACCGTTACTTCCAAGAGGAGTAGTTTTCCCCCCATCTCTTCTTGTTTGTTTTGGCACTGGCTGTGTAGCCTAGTAAGCAGGTAAAAGCTTGGGTTCTCTAGTAAGCAGATGAAAACTTGAGTTCTGTTTTCAGATCTCCTATCAGGATGATGCATAACAACCCAAAAAACAGTTCAAGATCATCAGGGAAGAGAGCTGGGGTGATGGGGAAGCCAGTTATATTTGACTACTCATATTTTAAAATGACTCATTGCCCGGGGTGGTTACGCTTCCAAGAAATTTGGGGCTTAGAGCAAAATACTTGCTATGAGCGGAGTTTGATCCTGGGGCAGAGAGTTGCACATGGAAGCAGAAGGTTTGCTGATACTGCTTCTTTAATAAAATTGTTCTTTAATAAGGTTGAAGTTGCACAGTATTGCAGAGAAGAATGTCATTATAAAAGAGTTGCCGTGAGTTCTTGTAGCTAACACAGGTCTAAGTGGAAAATTTTCTGATTTTCATTCTTCCTGTTTTTTAGTGCCCGAAGTGACGAAACCAAGTTTAAGCCAACCAGTGGCTGCCAGCCCAATTGGCAACTCTCCATCGCCACCAGTCAATGGTGGCAACAATGCCAAAAGGGTGGCAGTGCCGAACGGACAACCGCCAAGCGCCGCCCGCTACATGCCTCGGGAGGTGCCGCCGCGATTCCGTTGCCAGCAGGACCACAAAGTGTTACTGAAACGTGGGCAGCCCCCTCCGCCATCTTGTATGCTCCTTGGGGGTGGAGCAGGGCCTCCTCCCCCAACAGCACCAGGAGCAAACCCAAACAACGCACAACCAGTGACAGGAGCACTGCTGCAGAGCGACAGTGGGACTGCAACAGGCAAGTAATAATAATAAATGAACATCTGTGTGTTCATGGCAGAAAAGGGATCACTAAAATTGTGCATAAGCATATCATATAATAAAAGTACTTATTGCTTTTTGGAGAGCTTACTTCTACTATTTTAGTGTATAGATTTTTCTTTTACTGTTCGTGGCAGTGGAGGCAATTTTTACTACTAGTTGGAACAAGAAAGAGGGTTAACTGTTTTTAAATAAGTTTTGGGTGGTTTGAATCATGTTGTAAGGCTCTTAAGACTGCAGCAAAGTAAACACAATGCACAGATAAACAGCATTTTATAGTTGTCATTCAGTAGTTCTTAATAGCTCTTTAGGTTTCTCTGTCAGGATTTTATCTTGTCCGGTTTTTTATATGATCTGGTAAAAGAGACATGTAGATAAAAGGTCTGCAAATTGCAGATGTCTGTCACTTCTCATCTGGGTGAAATAGAAAGATGGTCCCTTTGCTCCTGACTCTTTAGTAGTAATTTTGGGTTTTTTTCCTTTACATAAACCTTTTATAAAAAAGTGGTACTGTCTTGGTTTCGCTTTTCTTTTCACTTTGAATTCCAGAAGATAAGTTGATTTTAAGATTAATTGTTTTATGATCATGGGGAAAATATAACTGCTGATGAATTTTTTCTAGACCCTTGGGGGATTGCAGTAACTGTAATATTTCCTCCTTAAGTTATGATAGTAGAACAAACAAAATTCCACTGAAGACATCTGCCTTCTAAAGACAAATGTAGATGATCTATGAAGTCAAGAACAACTTCAGTTCTAGCTATAAGGATGTTTAAAAAAGAAATAATAAATGCTTGAAAGTCAAAAGAAGAGAATGATACCACTATATCCAAGTTTGCCATTGAAAGCCGTGCCAGATTAATGGGATGGGGTTTTTACCACAGACTCAGAGAGCATAAACTTATATAGTTAAGAAAAAAATGGAGGTGACTTGTGAACTCCAGAATCAAGTAAGCTAGATGGGGGGGCTGTCTTAATTAAAAAGGATTCTAGGAGAAGTTTGTTTTATTGTTTCAGTACTTGAATCCCTTTGTAGAAAATCCCTGTTTGTCAGATTATTTATCTTGTCATCTTTGTTCTTTTTGGGGGGGTGCTGTGGATTTTCAAACTACAATGGCAAAGTTTTAGCTTATCAGTTTAAAAACAGATCTCTTGGAGATGGCTGGCTCTGATAAAACACCTGAAAGATGAAGACGGGGAAAAAAAGCCCACCCTATTATGTCAGCATCGGTATACCTTCACAATGGCTGTAGGAAACTGGCAAAGTAGACATTATGATAGTGAAACATTCTGAAAGTTTGCAAAATTTCTCATGAACAGCATCTTTTTTTGCTTTTGTGTGTACTATATGAGGTCTATTTTGAAGTAATTTAGAGGGTCCTTAAATTCTATGTAGTGAATTTGGCACCTAATATCTATTTCTCTGAGACTGAACTTTGATTTTTCTGAATTCTCATGTTCTTACATTTAGTTTAATGGTGCATTAACAACTAAGATATTATATGGCTGTATTTTATTGATTGTGGCAACTTTTTATGCCACTGGTTAGTTGCTTTATGCTGATGTAAGTCAGGAGTGTTGCCAAGAAAGATATGGGTCCTTCAGACCTGCCTTACCCTATCCAAATTTCTGCACCATAACAGAGCTAACTGGGCTGGGGAGCTAACTTGGACTAAAATTAACCCAGGTTGTTGTTTAAAGCTAATTTCAGTCTGTGGTTTACCAGTTCAGCTCACTGAGTATTAGTGGGAACATACATGCTAGCATACATGTGAAAATAGATGTGCCAAAGGAGTGGGAATGAGCAGCAGGACAAGAGAAAGGCCGGACATGTCACTTTGGATGCTCCATCAAAGTGCTTATGGAGGTATGGTGTTGCTATGTCTTGCACATCATTAATCTCATCTGAAATTCTGGCTGCCTACAAATTTGGTTTAGGATTAGGCCCAGTTACGTTAAGCACTTATGTGCTGATACTGTGATTAGTTCATCCCACGTGAAAACAAAATTAGGTTCCCAAATGGAAAAATAATGCAGCTTACCTACTCCTTCGCATTATATTGACCAGATAGCTATAGTGAGGCTTTAATACAAAAAGACATAATCTTTCTTTATATGAATCTTTTTCTGCCAGAATTGATATGCTTCTGTAAGATGGCAAAACTACAGTTCCCTGATTACACCAAATTTACTATTGTCTCAGCAATATGGGATAGAGGGTAGTGTATATAATTTTTTAAATAACAAGATATTCAGGATGTGCAAGACAATTTTGGAAAAAAAAAGATTAAATTTTAACAACAAAAATCTTCCAATAGTTACAGTGCCTTCTAAGAATCCTCACCATCTCTCACAGCAAACCCACATCTTCATTTCAGGGCTCCATTTCAGTACTCACTTATTTCAGTTCCATACTTTCATCCTTTAAAAGTAGTCATTGGCTAGTAACTTTTTTCATTTTAGTCAGATCAGAAACTTGTCTATCTTCAACATGTTTATTATTAAGGAAGAGTCTCTTTAAAATCCAAGAGCCCTTGCCCATTATCTTGAGACAAAACCATAAATTGCCAAATTTTTGTTGCCAGTATCAAATATAACAAGCAGAGGCTGGTTTATGAAACAGTCCATTAAATTGTGTCCTAGTACAGTGTTAGCAAGCATCCCAGTCTTAATACTTTTAGAATGTCTTCACAGAGATGAAATGTGAAATGCTCTGTTAAAATCCCTTACGTGAAGATCTTTCAAGTGAATACAGCTGCCTATGCATCATTCATTTGCTGAAATATTGTAAGTTCAAAAGACAGCAACCTTGCAAACCTTTGAACTTGTCTTGGGCTGTTTTCCTGAAGCTGTTTCTGTGATCAGTCTAATCAGTTTTTAAATCGGCAGAGAGAAGAGTTACTCAGTGTACAAAAAAGACAGCCAGATACAAATATTGGTAGAGAGTCACACTTCCTTGCTATTATTAAGTTTGCACTTGAGGTTAAGGCAACAGAAGGAGCAGAATGTGCATGGGAACTGCCTGGTCTTCTGCATCTCAGTGGCTAGGGTTTAGTGGATGAAGACAAACTTTTGTTCATCAGTATTCAAAGCTTACAGGAGAGTTCTAATGTTGTGAAGTCTGTGTCTTTACTGATGGCCTACAGTGAAGGGGAATTTCAAAGGCATTCAGTGAATGTTCATTGGTTAACCTAATGAACTGTAAGCTTGAGACAGGCATCTGTTCATCTTCTATTAGCAACCAGAAATTGTGGTCTTCACTTCTGAATATATAATATAGGAACCTGTGAGGGGGGTGAAAATCCACTTTAAGGTCATTATGCCTTATTTTCATGGAAGTTGCCACATGAGCCAGTATTGATCGTAACAATATATATTAATTGATGCAGATGTTACTATAAACTTTATGCTCTGCAAAATAAGTTAAACTGGTTGGGTGGGATAACTAAGACTAACGTAATAGGGTTCAGTACATGGTTTTGCAGAAGGGAGAGTGTTTAGTCTCCATCACTGGGAATTTGCGTTGAGGGCAATTTAGGGTCCTTCGGTATTAAAAATACAGAAGAAGATGGGTGGAACCCTATATAGAGAACAACACTGAAGTACTAATGGTCTTAACTACCTCTGATCCTCTAAATTATTTATATAGATGCCAAGGGAATCTTGGCTGGCATTTTAAACTAATTCTGATAACATGTCTACATATATGCAGGCATCATGCTGCCAGCATGGACTTCATCTGTTGTGGCACTCTGTTAATTTATGTTTGCTTTAAAACTATATACAAATATCTTGTCCATGTGAAGTCATACTACACAGGACATAATAATAGTTCACCACAGATGAAAGAAAAATGCCCTATTCGTTGTTGTTTGTGCTTCTAATTTCCTTATAGTGACTCCAAAGCTCACTGAATTTGCAGGTTACCCTGTACAATGTGCTAAGCCAGCAAAAAACTAGCCCGTCAAAAAGCAATTCTGTGTTGAGCTAATGAATACAGTTGACTTAGTTAAAGGGCTTAACTGCCATCAGAACCCTCACAAATGAGAGGTGAAACTTGAGGAACTTGAAATAGGGTGAGAGAGAGAAGGAATAGTGAGATCTCTTATTAGCCTCCATCCAGCAGCAGAGAGATCAGCTCAGCTGCTCACAAAAATACAAACTGTGGTTTCTAGGGTAAATATAATATAAACTGAAACAAAGGTGGGACAATTAAATACTGAATGCAGCTTGCACGTTACTGCATAGAAATTGTAATTTGTGTAGCTTTGGGCTCTTTCGATTTACAGTAACTTTTGGAAATTTCATTTGCTTTACAAAGGGTTGAAAGAAATTCCTAGTAGCAAAATCAACTTGAAAAGGTATTTGAAGCTGAAGGATATATATTCATTAGATGGTTTTATCTTCAATCTTACCTTTTGATTTGTAATGAATTCTAGTTGCTTTGAGTCAGTTGAGTCGCAGACCACCAGCTGACTGCATGTACACACTCAGACATACAAATGTGTGGCACAAACACATTCTTGTTCTATATATAGTATAACTTTAAATGTGTATTTGAAAAGTCTACAACCAGTATCAGTAATGACCATGTGCATTCATTAACTAGGTTATAATTATTATGTTGAACTTGGAGCTGGACTATTAGCGGAAGTAGTGAGTCAACTGTGAATTCAAATCCCCACAAAATGCTTGTGGGAATTTTTTGGAAGAAGTTTTTAACGAGTATCTTCAGTGGTGTTTTTCAGCCTGACATTCTTCCAAAACAACTTTTTTACACATTTGAGGCAAGGGTTCTTATTAATGAAAACAGTAATCTGGTGTCAGAAATGTGATGTTCAGTGCTTGTAAGTAATACTGATTATTAATTACCTTTTTGGGTGTGGGTTTTGGGTTTTTTGTTTTTGTTTTTATTGTAGATTCAGCAATTGGAGGTGCTGCTGCTTCAAATTATGCAAATTCCACTTGGGGTCCTGGAGTCTCCTCCAACAGCGGCACCAATGCCAACCCAACTCCCATCTGGGACAAGGTGATTGTAGACGGGTCTGACATGGAAGAGTGGCCTTGTATTGCTAGCAAAGATGCTGAATCTTCTTCCGAAAACACCACCGATAACAACAGTGCCTCGAACCCTGGCTTGGAGAAGAACGCTCTGCCAGGAAGCACCACTAGTAACAAAGGAAAAGGAAGCCAGTGCCAGTCTGGAAGCACTGGAAACGAATGTAATCTTGGGGCCTGGAAATCTGATCCCAAGGCTAAATCTGTTCAATCTTCCAACCCTGCTGCCGAGAGTAACAATGGACTAAGTAATTGGAGGAACTTGAGTGGACAAGATAGAATTGGTCCCAGTTCTGGCTTCAGCAACTTTAACCCAAATAGCAACCCATCTGCTTGGCCAGCACTGGTTCAGGAGGGCAATTCTAGGAAAGGGACTTTGGAACCTGATAGTGGTAGCTCCAATGCACAGATTAGCACAGTAGGTCAGACCTCTAGGGAACAGCAGTCAAAGATGGAAAATGCGGGTGTTAACTTTGTCTCTGGCAGAGAACAGGCTCAAATTCATAACACTGATGGACCAAAAAATGGAAACACTAACTCCTTGAACTTAAGTTCACCAAACCCTATGGAGAATAAGGGAATGCCCTTTGAAATGGGCTTGGGGAACCCTTCCAGGAGCACTGACGCCCCTTCACAAAGCACTGGAGAAAGAAAGACTGGGAGTGTTGGATCTTGGGGTACAGCTAGGGGGTCTTCTGGAACTGACACAGTCTCTGGACAGAGCAATTCTGGAAACCATGGGAACAATGGAAAGGATCGAGAGGACTCCTGGAAAGGAGCTTCTGTTCAAAAACCTAATGGGTCAAGAGGTGATTCTTGGGATAATAACAACCGGTCTACGGGTGGTGGGTCTTGGAACTTTGGCCCTCAGCATGCAAATGAAAGCAAATGGGGTGAAGGGAACAAATTAACATCTGGGGTCTCTCAGGGAGAATGGAAACAGCTGTCTGGGTCTGATGAACTGAAGATTGGAGAATGGAGTGGTCCAAACCAACCAAATTCTAGCACTGGAGCATGGGACAATCAAAAAGGCCACCCTCTTCCTGAAAACCAAGGCAGTTCCCAGGCTCCCTGTTGGGGAAGATCTTCCAGCTCTGCGGGAAGTGAGGTTGGAGGTCAAAGCACTGGAAGCAACCACAAAGCAGGAAGTAGTGACAGTCACAATTCTGGACGCCGATCATATAGGCCTACGCATCCTGATTGCCAGGCAGTCTTGCAGACTTTGCTGAGCAGGACTGATTTGGACCCCCGTGTGCTTTCAAACACCGGCTGGGGCCAAACTCAAATTAAGCAAGATACCGTGTGGGATATTGAAGAGATGCCACGGCCCGAGGGGAAGTCTGATAAAGGAACTGAGGGGTGGGAGAGCTCTGCCACACAGACAAAGAACTCAGGGGGCTGGGGTGATGTACCCAGCCAAAGCAATCAAATCAAGTCTGCATGGGGTGAGCTCTCAACCCCAACAGAGTGGAAGGACCCCAAAAATACTGGAGGATGGAATGACTATAAGAACCCCAATTCTTCTAATTGGGGAGGAGGAAGACCAGAAGAAAAAACATCTTCCTCTTGGAATGACAATTCTAGTAAGGATCAGGGGTGGGGTGGACGACAGCCTAATCAAGGATGGTCTTCTGGAAAGAACGGTTGGGGAGAGGAAGTTGACCAAACAAAAAACAGCAACTGGGAAAGTGCAGGAAACAAGCCAGTGTCTGGTTGGGGTGAAGGTGGGCAAAATGAGATTGGAACTTGGGGTAATGGTGCAAATACAGGCGCTGCTTCAAAGGGTGGATGGGATGATTGTAAAAGAACTTCAACATGGAATGAGACGGGTCGACAACCCAACTCCTGGAACAAGCAGCAGCAGCAGCAACAGCAGGAGGCTTCTGGTTCCTGGGGTCCACCGCCCCAAACTCCAAGTAATGGGCGACCTCCAAACACAAACTGGAACAGTGGACCACAGCCAGCTGCCCCCAAAGAAGAGGAGCCTAGTGGCTGGGAAGAACCTTCTCCACAGTCAATCAGTCGAAAAATGGATATTGATGATGGCACTTCAGCATGGGGAGATCCTAGCAGTTATAACTACAAGAATGTGAACCTGTGGGACAAGAACTCACAAGGAGGACAGGCCCCGCGGGAGCAGAGCCTGCCTACTCCAATGACTAGCAAATCACAAGCATCAGGTACTAGTCTCGTTGCTTTCTTCAGCAAGCTCCTATATATGAGTGTGACCTTAATGCATAAGAGATACTTGTGTAGCCTCCAATTCCTAACAGTTTTATTCCATAAAGAAAACCAATTTCTTATTTGAATATTTGGTTCTGTATTTAAAGTGTCTTTAAAATTTGAATCAGTCAGTCCTTTGCTTATACCTCAGTAACTGTGACCTGAATACTGGTTAGCTTGCCAGTAAAAGAAAGTGTTTCTTAGCTGACATATCTGAATGTTCTATCTGAGCTCTGAAGAGCAGGTTGAATTATGGAATCATAGAATCATTTAGATTGAAAAAAAAACCCTCTAAGATCATTGAGTCTAACTGTAAACCTGGCACTGCCAAGTCCGCCACTAAATCATGTCCCGAAGCACCACATCTACACATCTTTTAAATACCTCCAGGGATGGTGACCACTACTCTGGGCAACTTGTTCCAATGCTTAATAACCCTTTCGGTTATTAGAAATTTTTCCCAATATCCTTTCTAAACCTTCCCTGGTGCAACTTGAGGCCATTTTGTCTTGTCCTATCACTTGTTATTTGGGAGACTGATGCCTACCTTGCTACAACCTCCTTTCAGGTAGTTGCAGGGAGCAATAAGGTCTCCTGGAGCCTCCTTTTCTCCAGACTAAGTCACATTTTTTTATGGTTAATTGTTAGAGAAATGTGGAGAAATTCTTAACTTGTTTCTGGTCAAGAACCTTTTGCTTTGAAACACTCAGTTAACACCTGAAACTGAGTGAGTCTGTGATTTAGTGTTTAGTTCAATTTGGCTCTGCTGTATAATAAAGAATAATTAGCAAAATGTTTTCTTCTTTGAAATAAGAAAAAGTTACATAGCCTGGTAATACATTGAGATAGCTATATAATCTCTTATCTGACTCAAATATGCTTTAAAGAATACTATTTTCTTTTAATATGTACTTCAAACATGTCCTTATTCTTTCTTCAATATATGAAAACCCTGAGTTAGTCTGGTGCTTTTAATTAGTCATGAAAGTTCACCAGATAGGAGGACAGCATTTGATGTGGGGATCATGTTTAAGCTTGGTGAAGAATATTGCTCATCATAGCATTGTTTCCCTTTTTATCCCTGGAGATCAGTGCCCGCTCTAATTTTGACGTGAACAGTTGTCAATTCTGTTGCACCCACGCTACTGAGAATCTAAGGTCCTCAACAGAAAAGAACAAAGCAGTAGATTAATGACATGGTGCTGCACTGCAATAAATAGTTTGTTGTCTAAATGGTCTGTAATGAAAACTCTTTCTCCTTTGTGCAGTCTGGAGCAAAAGCACTCCACCTGCTCCAGATAATGGTACGTCCGCCTGGGGTGAGCCAAATGAAACCAGTCCCGGGTGGGGTGAAGTAGATGATACAGGAGCATCGACAACAGGCTGGGGGAATGCACCTTCCAACGCCCCGAATGCCATGAAATCTAGTGAGTATAGGCCAGACACCAGTTTCTTTGCAGTGATCCTGGAGATTTTTAGTGTTTGGCCTTATGATATAGGTCATCCATGAAGGAATTGTTATCTGAGGCCTAGAAGCAAAGTTGAATGTCATGTAAGATTTTGATGGATGAGTGATAAAGTACTTTCCAATTACTGGAACTTTGTCTTTTAAGGTAATGAAAAAAGTCTTAACTAAGCATTTAAATGGAGAGCTCTGATTTGTGGAAGTGTTGAAACATCAGAGCAACTGAGTGAGAAAATGTGTCTTTCTCAGAATGGTTTTCTCATCTGACTACCCACTTCTTACTTAGTATATCAGCTTTTTACGTGATAAATCACTTTCCCTGATCATATCAGAAAAAGGAATGCACAGTACAGACAGATTTCACCATTGAGACCATTACATGGTAACTTATGCTTTGGTAATGCAACTTGCCTTTGAATGGAGTTTTTTTAATTGTATGAGCGTACAAAATTGTAACTCTTAAGAACTGAACTTTTGTAGTTGAACCTAAATAGGTGACTCTTTTCTGGATATTACCTGCTTATAGCTATGTTCTTCATGAATAAGATGTTGTTGAAATCTTTTAAAAATTTACTTTGAAGTTAAAATTTTGCTGTATTAAGAGTTGTATTTTTGTGAAAACTATTCCTGCTCATGTAAACTGTGGAATTTTTATTTCACTCTTTTAAGAAAAGTAGAACAAACAAAAGCAATTACCTGTTGATACCACATAACAGTGTTATAGCCAAAGCCAGTAACATTTGGATATGAAGTTTCCTGTAGGAAATACTGATAATAGATGATTGTTACTGAACCTAACTGCTGATACCTGCTGTAAAACTGTGTTTCCAGTTACAAGTTGCTTTTGCAACATGTAATTGTTTGGTATGAAATGCTCTGTACAGATTGTATGCTGTTGGGTCATTCTCCCTTCCTCCCACCCTAATTAAATAGTTTAGCCATTTATGAAACAAGGCTTGGGGGGGAAAAAGCATTGCTTCCTTAGTGTTAATATTACAGCAACCTTTAGTGCTGGCTGTAGTGCTTCCCGTGCTTGCCGTACAAACTGGGCACTTTTCAGGATGCTAGCCTGTTTTTTAGATGGATCTCTCCTTTCATCTCTAAAAAGCCACCTAAATACGACCAAAATAAGAGACACTGAAATGCTAATGATCTAGTGCAGATCCTATGGATTTGTTAATACTTAAGACAGTATTTAAAGACTATGCATGGTCACTTGCTTGTCCAAACTGGTCTGCATGGGTGATATAACTAAAGAGCTGTAGCGTGTACTATTTTGTACATAAGCTGTCCCAGATCTAGAGGAGGAAAATATAGGGAGTTCTGCTGTCATGGCTGTTTCAGGTTGGGGTGTAGTAGGTCACCAGTGTTAAGAGCTGAGATCTTCATTCTCCTGTGTTCCATGACTGCTCTCAACTCATTTCTAATTGGCACCCAGAAGGAAAGAACAAGGAAGCTACGTTATTCAGTGGAGTAAGGGGAAATATTTAATGGCTTGGATAAGTTGGAAGAAGAAATTGGGACAAAGAGCCTGCAAAGGCATAATTTACGGTTGAAGGTAAGGACAGGAAACGGAGACTAGCAAAAATTGATAAAGAAAACAAGACTGTAGAGCCAAAGAAGGGAAGCATAGATCATTAGTCACCTGTTTAAAAAAAAAAAAAAAACAACAACAAAAACAACACAACAACCCAACATTTACATAATTTTACCAGCATCGCATAGGAGTTATCTGGCAAAAGAATAAATTCAATTTTCTGTAACATCGTTATTTTGTCTTTGTCTTGGAAGTTTCCTTTCCTTACTCTTACTATAACTATTTGTGCCTCATCACTCAGCAAATGTGAAATGATGCAGGATTCCTACAGACATGTCATCATTACACCGCTGTCCAGATTTATGTTTAGGAATCTGACCTGAGAGCTGTCAATGCAGAAAAATAATCTATGGTGATGTAGTTAAAACCAGGATCGTAGTACTGTTTTTAAACACTGTGATAGGAAATAAAAGCTGCAGAGACTACCCCATATACAGCATTTTCAGATTAAGTTCCTGACTCTGCGGTCATAATCCTTAAATGTAGCCTTTTCTGTATTAGTAGCATGATTAAAGGGTCAAGAAGTAGATTTTTGCACTTAGACCAGTATATAGACTAAGCAGCCCTCAATTTTGGTACACGAATATACTCTTAAAAAGTTATGTTTTCTGTGAAGTATCTGAGTTCTTATTTGTGATGGATTTTAAGGTAGCTCTTAAACTGCTGTGAAATGCTGCTGTACTTATTTTCGGTATGATCAAGACAGAGTTTCCCTGATAGATTAAGTACAATTCCTGACTACTTCTATATTCACATTTTTTGCTTTGTGTGTTAATATCTTTATCCCTGTTTTCCACACAAACCCCAGACAATTGAAGAATTAGTTACGAAAAAGTTGATGGTGATGGAAATCTTTTTTAAAGGAGATTTAGTGCTTAGAGAATAAATATGTAGAATGAAGAATTAGAGCAGGAAGGAGAACAGTTGGACAGTGGACAAGATGAGGATTTGGGCTCTTGTTGGCTTGTTAGTAGAGGTTAGAATTCTAAGGTGCCTCAGAACTGGTGCTAGAGAGTAATAGCAAAAAAAGAAGCTAACAGGTAAAGTCCTTAGTCTGAACTGATACAATGAAATGGTTGTAGCTTTTTGGTAATGGCATCTATACTTAAACAGCATTGCTAATAAGGCTTTTTAGTGACATTATTAAAACCAGAAATTCGAGTAGAGGAGTTTTTTTCCACATGAAACTACTTTTGATGTTACGTATATCAGAGCACAACGTCAGATCTTCTCCTTCAGATTCTAATTAGTTTTTATTCCTTAAAGATCTTTGTTCTGTAATTTTGGTAAAGAGTTTAGTGCAAGGGAAGTGTTACGGTTTTGATGTAAGATAAAATAATTGATAAACTACCTGAACCAGAGTCCTCAGCACCCTTGTTTTTTAAGTGTCCTTGAAGTCTTTAATTTACACTAGAATAGGTTGCCTTCTAAAGAAACACAAATGCAACTGTATCTGTATCAGAGGGGAAGTCCCTGTAGTTGTTAGATTTTTAAGGGTTTGACATTGCTTTAAAATAGTTGCAAAACATGACGTGCTAACATGTCACGGAATCACTTGGGTTTTGGGATTCACGCACAAGGTTTTACAGCTGTTAGAGTGAAGACACTTATTTTTACTCCTTTGGGGTTTTGATGATCTCAGCTAATCTTGCAGTGTCAGATAACCAGCTGTATGGTATTGTAGACTGCTTTTGAGCTTCTTTTATTTTTCTAAAGGTACTAAATCTATGCAAGATGGCTGGGGAGAGAGTGATGGGCCAGTGACAGGAACACGGCATTCCAGCTGGGAAGAGGAGGAGGAGGGAGGAGTCTGGAACACAGCAGGCTCTCAGGGAAGCAGTTCCTCCCACAACTCAACAAGCTGGGCTCAAGGTGGAAAGAAAACACAAATGAAGGTAAAATGCTTGAATGATTGATAACTACTGGGTGTCTGTAAGCAGTATGACTGATATGTTAGAGCATTATAATAGTACTTCTTTTAAAAAGGTATTAAAGAATTCAGCTGGAAAGGTGCCTGTACAACAGTGTAAAAATGTGAGGTTTCTGGATTTGTTTTAATGTATTACATGTGTTTTGACTAATAAATCTGCCAGCAGGTGTCAAATTCTTTTGGTATGTAAGCTGCAGAGCCATTACTAAATGAAACTGAGCAATAAGTATCCCAAGGCTATTGCTCTTCTCTTGTTGACACATCTTTCTTTGTTAGGCTGCTGCTGTTCTCCTTGCATAGCCCACTGAAGTTCAGATTGCACAGTCCCTTTGGCACATGCACTTCCAATTTCTGACTGTTGGGTTTAGATCTGACTTCTGTTTGTTGTTACTGACCTTTGGCCTCAAACAGGAGCAGGAGCTTGGCTACAGTCCTGAGTAAATTGCTTTGAGATTTGCATTGAAGTTCTCTAGTACAGTAACACTTGGTACCACATTAATATTAGAAGAATCATGCTTTGTCTACTTCTAATTAAATAGGTTGAGCAAACTTAAAACACAAATGCAGAGCAGCTTCCTAGGATGTGGAAATACTATTACTGTGATATGATACAGAGTTTTACAATTCCTGTTTTGCAAACATTATTCTCATTAACTTTTTTCTCACTTAAAGCTTTTTTAATTTTGACCACCAAAGCAACTGTCAAAAAAAAATGTTCTTTTCTGTTGAACTGTGTTCAGTTTTGGTTTTGATAACCTGTAAATTACAGTAAGGCCAAGTTGAGAGCCAGGTCAGCACAGTGCCCATGTAAGAGAAACCATGCTAAAGGGAAGAAAGCCAAGGAAGAAATCTGCCTCTGTATGTGGTGCATTAAATGTGTGAATATATTAAACTGTAACAGGAAAAGATAAATAATGTTCACAAAGCTTTCTGGATTCCAGAATGAAATGGAAGATGTGATAAACATTCTACACAGCAAGTGTTCATCAAGTGTGGTATACCTAACAATGAACAATTTTATGAGAGAGAAAAGAAGAAAATACTGTTTAGTAAATGTTTCCAACCACACAAAAGGTTAAAATAATTTGTTCAGGAGATTTAATTTCTCTGATACCAGGATTTTAGTTTGACATTCGTGCATCTCAAGGATAAAACTGAATTAAGAAACCAAGAAGTTGCTTTAAAATATTTTTGTCTTTTTTTCTTCAGTGCGCACTGAAAGGGGGAAATAGTGATTCATGGATGAACCCTTTATCCAAACAGTTCTCAAATATGGGCTTGCTTGTAAGTAAATTTTTAAAAATCTAAAATCCAACTTTGTTAAAAAGTAGTAAGCTTTAGGTGAGTCAAAAGATGAGCACTTTCACAGTGTGTAACTACTTAATTTATCTGCATTTGCTATGCTGGCAGGTTGATTATAATACCTGTGATAGCTGGGTATTCAGCACTTCCTTGCTAGTGAGAATGGCTTCTCAGAAGAATCCAAAATCTACTTTGACTCTTCAAAAATACTTTGACAGCTGTTCTGAGATTGCAGTTTCCTTGCAAGTAATAGCATTCAGGGTTTTGTTTGTTTTAAATTTTATTTTCATGACATGTTGTTTAGATCACTTAAGGTAGAGGCCTCAGCTGCTGGGTATAGTGTCAAGACATCAGTGATTAGTCCAGGGCTAATTCATTCTGAATCTCAGCACCTATCAGAAAAAGAAATTTACAGCCCTGTGTCTGTCTTGGCTATTAGTATTTTAAATACTGTGAAGTAGGGTCTTTTTAGAACAAAAAGGGATCCTTATTAATCAGTACTTAAAGACTGATTGGTAAAGTGAATAAATAAATGACACACCATGGAGAGAAAAGACAGAACTGCTGGGAAGTACCTTAAAAATAGCTACATATAAAATTTTTTTCAGAACTTCTGACATGCTGATTTGTAAAACATTTTACAGAATATTGTGCCAGCTGTCACTCTTATGAAGCAGTAATAGTATGTAATGCAGGCTAGCAAAAGAATAATTACAGAGGTTCTGTGAGAAGCCAAGGGCTGCACAAACTGTCACTGACATGACTAGGATTAGCTTGTAATGTCTGTTGGCTTCTGAGCTCAAATTCAGGTTGCTAGACCATAGATACTTCTGAAAGCTATGGGAACACCCTGTCCCAGACTGCCAGCTAAAGAATAACTTGGCAGTGTGTTTCAGGGTTTGATGACTGGACAGGTCATGAGGATGAGCTATCATTTTTGCCTCTGTTTTCAGTGTTTCATCTCTTGACCCACTAGAACATGAGGACAGAGGTTCATTTCACAGAGCAGCCATCTGTCCATCTTTCTCTGTCTGTTGTATGCATTCGTGTGTCTGGTTTCATATGGGTAAACTTGCCACACACAGCATTAGGGGTTTGAGGTGAGGTGTGTCCAGGATGATATCAGGAATCCTTGTGTTTGATTTTAGTTTAAAATAAAACTTCATTTGTCACAAGCATGTCCTTCCTTCATTACTCCTTTAACCATCAAGGGTTACTTTCTGAAACATTCCTCAGCATTTTGTGGAAGTCAGAACTTAATTTTTTTTTTTCCTCCCCAGAGTCAAACTGAGGACATTCCAGGCAGTAAGATGGACTTGTCTGTAGGTACGTATACTTTAATTTAAATGCATTTGAAATATGTGATCATGTGTAATATTTTTATGTGGATGACATGCTGTGCTTTGGAAAGGTTTAATCCTTACTTTTAGAACTCCTCATAATAGAAAGATAGAATTATAGTATCTGATATCTTGACTGTAGGCTTTGAATAGCTACACAGCTGTTGCTGGTATGCAAGATTGAGGTGCATACCTGTACAGAACAGAACTATAACTTGTGGAAGGGACATGCTTTAAGACTGTTTTGTTCCATGTAGTTTGTATTCACTGTTACTGTTTCAAGAAAGTGAAGATCCCTTTTCATTTGGTGGAAGAGGAAGACTGTTAGCTCTTGGCAGTAGAACATCCCAATTACCACAGCTCCCTGGAGGTGATGTGAAGGAAAATAGTATCTTTTGTTATTGATTTCTTCAATTGCTTGCCTCAGGCTATTACAAGTTACCGCTAAATAGATCTAGATTTTTTTCACTCTTGATAGCCTCACCACAAATACTACACAGCTTAACTGGGATGGGCTGTGTGGAAAACACTGTCCTAAATGGGAGGTCAAATTGACCACTTGGATTAATCCCATTTAATCACCTTTGAATTTGTCACGACTTTCTTCTTTGGCAAACCAAATAGTGAACACTCGCAGAATTTTTTTTTAATCTTTAAATCAAGTTTAGTTTTGCATTTGTTTTTCTCCAAATTGTCTCTGAATATTGACTGTCGTGGTCTGGCAATAGAAATACCACGGGTTTCTGAAATCTTCCACCATTTGAGATGGTTTCCCTACAAGATTCCTAAGGTATATATTAAAAAAGGGGTGATCCAAATCTGCTGTTCCAATTGTTTATTTTTATTTGTTATCAAGTCTTTGAAGGCTTAGTAAGACTTAATACTTTTACAAAATAGCCTTTGATACTTTCAAAGGGGAAGAGGATTTCATTCCTGGTCCAGTGACTGTTTTCTGTTCAGGTTTTGATTCTTCAAAAACTACAGGAGCAGGAAGATCACCTCATATCCCTGGCTAAAAAGACAGATCTTCTAGTCCGCTTAAAGGACATTGCTGCTGTACAAATTCAATAGTAATTTTGGAAAGAGGTGTTCATCCTATTTCCGCAGCTGTCAGAAATGTCACAGAGGCTTTAGATTCCTCCCAGTTACAATGTCAAAAGCCAGAGATCTGTAATTCTTATTCCAAGGGATGGTATGTCAAAGTAATAGTTGTATTCTCAGCTCTCATCTAGAACAGCAAATTTCCTGTGTAGATGAGCTGTGCCTTGAGGACTCCAGAGAAGTGTATGTGTAGTGGTTCTGTGTCTGGAAGGGGTCCTGTATCAGTGCAGATAAAGTTTGTTGTGAAGGTATGGACACATTGATTCTGAATCTCATGTGATTAGCACTGAGACTCACAGTGTGGCTCTTATTCAGTAACCATTTTACTGGTTTCATGTTTAAAAATGTTCCAGTACCAAGCTGCTTATTTCCAGCTGCTTCTGTAGCAGAAGTTTCTACCTCAGCTGAGACATGGATGCACGTAGGCACAAAGTGCTACTGGAAGGACAGAAAGGTCTTGGTAAGAAGGGGAGGGCTGGCTGGAGGAGGTGACTGGCTTGGAGTCAATGCTTACTCTGCTGGTTATTCTAAATTTCCTGTGGGAGACTGTCAATAGAATTGATTACTCATGATTCTGTTGCAGTATCTTTGAAGAACTACCTGCAAAAGTAGTTCTGTTTCAGGTCACAATCTGTGGGGTCTCTAGATCAACTGAAATGGGTGTTTACAAGTTGATTACAGTTAGTTTCAAAATATGTTTTGGAATTAAATGCTGTAAGTTAGAACAGTGTGGGCTCTGTGGTGCAAATTGGCTGTACCCAACATCAAGGATAGAATCTATTTACTTCTGAGGTATTACCTGCCAAAGAAGTTACAGTGTTCAGGTCTATGACTGACTGTGTGCTAAGGATTAAGTAATCTCACTTTCCAGCATTATGTACGTCTACAGTTCGGTCTGTTTCATCGCCTGATTTCTTCCCTTTTTTCTTTTTTTTCCCCTCCATCTAAACATCATATAGTGGCAGTAGGTTAAGAACATAGTAGCAAGAGCTGTTTGTTTCACACTCAGATAAACACCATCTTTGGTATTATTTTTTTTACAGATGTCAAGACAGCTGACTGATCTGATGTGTCCCCCTGCCCCAAAAAGTAATCCAGTAGTAGTAACTGCTTTCCTCTAAGGTGTCTTCTGTCCTTGTGGGTGGTACAAGGCCATTTGACTGAAATTGAACATACACTGTGGGAGCTTCTGGTAGCAGTGGAAAATTAGATAGCACAGGTTTAAACCCTGAAAATGCAAGCAGTGTATATTTTCACTCTTGATTTGAATAGTAGATTTTTAGGAATGTCAGGAGGCAGTTCTTGTGACACTGGCCATTGTGCTACAATTGCGGTTTCTGTGCCATTCTGATTCTGCCATTCCTTTCCTGCACGTTTCTAGTATTGTTGACCAAATTATTCCAACATTATGCCTTGCAAGAAGTCTGCACTGATGTTGACCCTCTTTGCACCAGTGCTGTCACCAGCTTCAGTATTTCCTCACCTGCCACTGTTGTAGCATCACATGATGCTGTAGTCAGGATTGTCCCGACCAAAAAGATTTCTTTTATTGGGAATACCCATTAATCTTTGGTACTAAAGGTAGAGCTGTGGTAATCAAGACTTACTTGCATCTAATACCTGATTTGGTATTCTAATGCACTCCGAACAGTGTCTATTAGCTTAGAATCCATTGCGTTCTTAAAATGTGTATCACACTTCATAGAGGATTAAGTAGTTAGTTTTACCCAGAATTGCTTTCTTCTTCTGAATAGTTAAGGATCCCAGATGTTAAGATGCTAAGAGATGTTAAAGCATGCATTTGTGTAGTACAACACAGTTTTAGGGAAAGTAACAGAATTTTTGGATCGCTCCAATTTTGCCCTTATACAGCCTCTCTGGAATTCAGGCTCTGATTGTATCATGCTTCTCTAAACATCTAGGTGGATATAAGTTGTCTTCTTGGGTGTTCAGTTCTCATCTGCCTTCAGATGCTGCTGTTCAAGAACAGATCTAAGAAACATACAAATTAAGAGAGTGATAGCCTGGGTTGTGCTGGTTATAGCTCTCAAGTTCTTTATCTTTGAGTTAAGCTTTTGGATCCTTTAGAACTTTCTGCTGTCAAGGATCTTTAGGCCATCAGACCTTCTGAGGAAGTAGTGCAGAAAAGTTCCATAATTAGTCTTGATGTGTTGCACTTCTGTAAGTTTACTATGCCCATTAATGGTGGCATCCTTGATCCTAGGTAGAGGCAGTTATTACAGTTTGTATTCCATTTCAAAGACTAAGAATGTAACATCTTCCTGAGGCTTTTCTGTTACTTCTCTGCTTAGCAGTTTTAATCTTGTTGCATTATGGCAGTTGCTTGCGGAAAACTATAAGCTGTTTTTGTTCAGCCTATATCTACTTCTGAACTTTAAAAGTTGGATGACTTAAGAGATAGGCTTGTTCTTCAACTGGTTTTCAGTCAAGATTACAACATACTGGGTTTTTCTAACTAGATAACTCCCAGCATATTTTCCCACTTTATGGATAAGTGTACATTGATCTTGGAGACCATACATATCAAAAAAACCTTTGGCTTTGGTATGCACAGAGCACCTTGGCTCTGGTCATCATGCATCGTAAAATAGGTCCAGTTGTCAGTAATTCTGACTACATTGGTCTCAGTTTCCTTGTTTGAAAAATGTGTTGCTTTTATTGCAAGGTACTGGAGTAATACTTTTATTTACTGACCAAGACAGAAAAGGGATATGGATCAATAGAATACCTGAGGCAGATTTACTTCCCCTTTTTTAAAATTTTTCTATCAAATCCCTTCAATAGATAGCTTGTTTTGCTTTGAAAATGGGATACAACTTTTTTTCTACTGAAATATCTCCTATATGTAAGTCCTGAGGCATGAAGTTTGCCGCAGTAAGTAGCTTGTCAGAACTACGTAATATTTTCTTCTTTCTTTGCTGCTTTTTCATGTGTTAGTTGCAACCTCTGCAGATCACTGAATTCCTAAATCACCTGTAAAGACTGGGAAATTAATTTCCAATTTCTATTGATTCAAATGCAATTCATGCAGCTGTTTATCATAAATATGTTAGAAAGCCATAACCTCATTAGCATTTAGATGCAACACCACAATAGCTAAGCGCATGTGGTTGCTCAGTAGGCTTGGATGATGTAAATTTATAGCAAAGGTATAAAACCAGTATCTTCAAATTTTTTTGTTTTGTGGTCAAGCAGAAAACAAGTTCAAAATGTGATTTTTTTTTTTTTTCCTGTTTGTATTACCCCACTGGATATGTCTATTTTCACCATGTTGAGTCTTGTTTGCAGACGTTTTGGGTAACTTTGCTCAACAGCAGTTCCTGTTCCTATCTCCCAGTATGTGATCACATTATGTAATTTTTTTGGTGTATAATTTCTTTTTTTCTTAAGCTGTGTGCATGTGGTGGTGGAGATCTACTTAGTAGGGGTTTTTTTCCCCTCACTAGGGCATTAATATAATCTTCCAAGCTTTTGCTTCATTTTGCATTTTTCATGGTGTTTCTCCCAGCTGTTAATAGTGGGGAAAAATCCACAAACTGATGGAGTGTCTTTCTATGAAGATGATTGGACTTTTAACCTGCTCTACATTTCTGCATGTAGAGGTTTTGTTACTTCATATTTATTCATGCACGTGTTGTTGCCTACTGCAGAGGGTAAAATTCAAACTTTTCAGATTTTAACAGTCGTCTTGTACTATGTAAGGTAAAGCTGGTCTTCAGCCACTTGCATTATTTATAGCTTTTGTTGGCAAGTGCAAAAGGCAGACTCTGCATGACAGGTTTCAAGGTTGCATTAGAAGTTTCTGTGAATGGAATAAATTAATGCTACCATCTCTCTTAGCAAGGCCTTGTTTAAGCAGCTGCCTTGGCGCTAAGTGGCATGTATATCTACATTTGAAACCTTTATTTATGATATTTAATGCTCTGCAAGTTATTTAACAAGCTGTTTTACAAGGCATCATTTGTAATATTTGAGGAGTTGATTGGATCATCAGGATAACCAAAGAGACAAACGGGTGTTTCTGCTGCTTAGTCATCTTGTGTTGGCATTGACCCAGTTTCATTTCAGATAGTGATGCAACTCTGTCTCGCTTTCAGTTTCTTTTCAAGCAACTAATGGACAGGGCTTCCTGTCTAGAATTAAAGCACACAAGCCTTTTGGTAGTGCATTGCTGGTGTTGTGTGTAGTGTTTAGATGTAGGTATTGGCAGAGTTGAGATGTGTTTGACATTTTATGTGACTGCTTTTGCAGAGCCAGATATAGCTTTTTAGGATATGTTAGAAAGGGATGAGCTCATCCAGGGTGGTATGACTCCAGTTACAACCCAATATATGTAGGTGACTTGCCAAGTGTTTTTCTGATATATGATGTTGAAGACATCTGAGATGATGAAGCTGGATCGACGTTGAAAGCTATGCCAGCAAGAAAATACCATGTAATTAGTGGTTGTTTCATAGCTTCTTGGCAGTAACATACCTATGAATATTAATAGTTTGTGATTGTACACTAAGAAGAGATGCTGGGTTTGAGAAGCTTTTTTGAGGAACAGATAAGTGTTTTGAAGGTATTGGAGTGGTTAGCTGTCTGCTCTGTTTGATAAAGGCTTAGTATTTTGTCAGTGGTGTAGGGCAAGGTATCTCACCAACTTCTTTTGGAAGAATCATAGATTTTGGTTAACTGTGGTGACAGGTTTTTTAAACTGTTCTTGGAAATGCCATCTGTGCTACTAAATTAAATTATTTAAAAGTAAAAATACCACTAAAGCTCATTTCTATCACATTGTTCAATATTTTAAAATGAAGATAATTTTCCATGTACTTCCAGCGTAACAATAATGCATCTGATACCTTCCAGGTGCCAACTATCACCAAAAAAAAAATAGTTCTGTGGCAGCAGTTCAGTGTGTAAGGTAGAAAATTCCCTCCAGTTAGCACTTGGCTGATGATAAGCTTATAGAGAAAGATGATGTCTTCACTGTGTATGTTTCGGTTTGATCATCTGTTACTAACATCTCTTCCTTGTATTCTACCATGTTACTTGCTAAACATTGGCAGGAGACTGTAGGAGATGTTTGAAAAGTGTCTCTGTTACTGGTTGTGTAATCATTGCATACAGGCTGAGGGAGATTGGTTGTCTGTCTGGACGCTAATGCTATGCCAGGCGATCTGTGGTGTTCAAGAATTAAGTTTGCATGACTGTAAAAGACTTCTACTCAAATTATGTGCATGGTTTTGCAGTTTGAGAAATTCTTTATCAGTGCCAAACCCAGTAAATGCTAAGTAGAATATACAGAGAACTTAAATAGTGGTGTCTCTAGATACAAAATAACAATAAATAAAAGTACGAGTTTTGGAATACGTTGACAATTGTGTATAAATAAATATTATTAGCTGAATTAGGCTGCTGTAGAAATGCGTACGTTTATATCTCTATGATGAGAAATACTTTGTATTAAAACTCTAAATTAAATTGACAGTCTTAAAAACAAAATTTCCTACCTTAATTTTTCAACACTTAGTAACAATTGTAACTATGTTAAATTGTTAAGACAGATGTAATTTATACACTGATCTTGAAAGATACCTTATTTGGCTGTGAACCTGTTGTCATGAAGCATGGTAGACATTATTGGCACTAAATTTGTCTGTCTTCTTTTTTTACAGGTGGTCTCCCAGATAAGAAGTTTGAGGTAGATAAACGAGCCATGAATCTCGGGGATTTTAATGACATGATGAGAAAGGATCGATCTGGGTTCCGTCCACCTAATTCCAAAGACATGGGAACCACAGAGAGCGGGCCTTATTTTGAGAAGGTGAGAGAAATGTCTTTAGATATATTAATATCAACCTCTGTCTTCGAGGTCTCAGTTTTTACTCCTCTGGAAGTGCAAAAAATTCAGTAACCTTGGACAAACTCAGTAGTAAAAGGTGTGGGGGATTTATGTCTGCAGAATGAATGTGTGTATAAACCAGAGGTGTCGTGTGTAGACAGACTAAATTATCTGGGGAGAATGAGGCTTTTTATTCTAGAACATACAATTCTTAATATGGACAGAAAAATTCCTTTGTTTTTCTTGGAAGGGTAAACTACTGGTAGCATTGAAATTCATTATATATTTCATCACAGTGATTCTTTTGGCTACTGACTACCATCATCTACTGTAAAAAAAAATGGTTTAGATTGAAGTAAACATAAGTAATCACAGTCTTACCAATTTTTTCTGCTCTCATGTCTCATTTATTGAAAACACCCTTTCTAAATTCTGCAACCCCTTATTCTGTTTGTCCGTGTACTGTAAGCTTCTGTATGACATCTGTTTCTCTGTGACATCTGTTGTATGTTATGGTAGCATTTCTTTCATATTCTTGCCTATTTTAAATAGAAACTTTCACTGTTGTTATCAAACATTAATTGCTTCACATTATGAATTGGAGACTATCCAATAGATTCAGAATGCTTTAGGGCTTATCACATATCAAATGGAAAATCAGTTTGGTTTAAATATCCTGAAGGACTGGTTACTGTCAGTGATTTTTTTATTTTTTTTTTTTAACTCCTCCATTTTGGTATAGCAGGCTAAAACCAGTTTTGTCAACTCCCTCTGGTGGCCTAATTAATAAATACTAGTAGCAGAGCTAATGCATTCCTAACAAATTATGTCCATAGGTGTGTGCTAACTTTAGGAATTCATTCAAGATCTGTTTGTTTCTGTAGTGGTAATAACCACTGTCAGAAGTTAACTTCATGAGAGTTCAAAATGTATTTTGGGAAAAAAAAACCAAAACAAACCAGTAGGAATTTATTGATTATTTCCTTGGACCAAAATCTTTGTGAACAGTGATCATTTGAGTCAGAAGTTTTGTCCTTATAATTGCTATTACAAATTAACTTTGCTTCTTCCTAGTCACTCACCATCCCTCTTTCTCTCCTCTTGCATTCTGTTGCTTCACTAACCAACTCCTGCTGTTGGCTAACTGCTGCTTCAGCTGACTTTGCCTTTCTCCAATCAAGATGGGTGCCTTGGGGATGAGGCTCCCTGCTCTCCCTTCTCCCCTTCTCCCAGCTACAAGCTGTCTCCCTCTGGTTCCACACTATCCAACGTCGGCCTTGGGGCAATCGGCTCAGGGCTCAGTCCCCAAAACTTCGCTGCTAGACAAGTAAGCAGGCCACCTTATAAGATGCATTGTTATAAGGCTGCAACCTGGGCTTAATCCTGGTTAGTTGGTTGCTTGCATTTTCTTTCCTACTAAATTAATATTGTTAATGGAAATTTCAGCTATATCAGGCCACTGAGAATCAATCCACTTTGGATCCTATCATCAAAATGTATTTCATATGGTTTTGTTGGCCTCTTACTTTCTGAATCACAGTGCAGCAGCAGATAGATGTGCTTTTCAGAAGTCATGAAGTTAGTGACAATCTTTGTATTTTAATTGCTGTTTTAAAACCCAGTTAGAGGGTTTTATTGATTTGCCCCACCACCCCCCAACACTGAATTTTTCCAGACTCCACCTGATGACCCCATGTGTAGAAATATGCCTGTAAAAAATTGCAGTCATTTTGCATTGTGTGTGTTTCCCTTCTCCCTTCCCTACAGCCCCCAAAAAGGATTTATTTAGCAGCCTTTAAAAACTCTTGAAGTAGCAGTGTTTTTTTCTGTATTTGGAGTAATCGTGGGGAAGAAATCAAGTGATTAACTGCAATTTGGAAGAATGTCTGACTTACATTTTGCATGATGCTACAAGAAAATGTTGCAGGAATACAGGGAAATGAAAGAATGGAACCTAAGTATTGTGACTGGACTAGCTTATGTAGTCACATGCCTAACATGATGGTGTTTCTTTGTATTGTCTTTCTGTTTCTATGTGACACAATCAGTGTTGAACATCAAATTAAGTCCAGAATTTTCAGACATATTCTTGGATTTGGTGTGCAGAACACTGAGCTTTAGGAAGAGCTGAAAGCAGCTGCAGCTTAAAGCTTCTTAAAACTTTTAGATGTGTAGTTGACCCCAGTCCTTTCTTTCCATGGTAAAAACTCTCTTGTCTCTTGGGGTTTTTTCCCCTAAGATGTGCTTAGTAGGACATCTTGAGTTGCTTCTGAAAGAGAAGGTATATTAAGGAAGTGAAATGTGTTGCAGGTGGATGAGGGAATCTGTAGCGCTGCCAGTTCAGAAGCAGGATGAGACACTTCTTTTAACAGCAAAAGGATAGTGGAGGATGCACAGTATTATGGTAGAAGGAAGGCTAAGTTTATGAAATGCTATTATATAAGAGAAGGAAATGTTTTGGAGAAGGCCTGCACAATCCTGGTTTGGAAGAACAATTAATTTATGTTGGGTATAGCAATGGTGGCGTGGAGAGAGAGAACAAAGAATGATGGCTGAGGGATGGAAAATGTTTAGAACCTCAAGTATCTGACCATCATAGACATCCTAATATACAGCAAAAGATGGGAAGTTCTGAGGGTCTTGAAAATGAAAAGACATTATCATGACCTATAAAGACCTTTTGGAGTATGAGCTTCAGCTTTTAGAAGCAACAGCATGCGACTGTTAGTGTAGGAGACTGTCCATAACGTTTCCTGTGGCTTTTGTTGAAAGATATTACAAATAAAGACAGTCTGCTCAGAGTCTGAAGTAGTGAGACATAATCACAAATTTTCTTTGGTCTTTTTGGTGCAGTAGGGTTTATTATTACGCAAGTTGCTTATAAAACAGTAAGTACTTCTCATTAAGAAAACTCAAGCAGCAAGTATTCTTGTGTTAGAAAATAAATCACTGGGAGAGAAGAAAAAAAAAAAACAAAACAAAACACAAAACCCAAACATTTTTCTCACTTGAAAATTTTCCTGCTCTTCAATTCCACATGAAAAAAAATAAGAGAAAAACATCCCAATCTAGAATGCTGAAGTTTTCACATCAGAAGGAAAATTCTTAATAAAATTATAGAATTCTAATTTCAGTTAGTGAAAGGCCTGCAGAGGAAGTAATAGACTTATGAGTGATATCTCAACAACTACTCTGAAAAAGTACTTGACTTTTCTGAAATGATGGCCCAAAATTCTTGTTGACACAGTCTTGCCATACTTTTAAGCCAATGGAATGTTTTTTTGAGTGTGGTGGTTGTACTCCAGGTTTCCATTTCCCAACGTGTAAAGTGCAAAATATAAAACATTAGTTTTGTTATGTGCTTTGAAGTATGTGGATAAAAATGACTCTTCAATGTAGAGGAGAAAGAGCCTGCATCTCAAAAATGTAGTACAGCAGTGTTTTAACCCAGATAGAACATTACTGATTTAGGACAGATATCTCACTAATTCTAAGGGTACTTTGTATGAGCCAGTACTTGCCTCATTGTTAATTGGTATGTAGTTAATAGCATAGAAATCCATTATCCTGAAAGATTCATCTTCTCACTGCTGCTTTAATTTTATAGGGTGGCAATCATGGTTTGTTTGGAAACAGCACAGCACAATCGAGGGGCATGCACACACCAGTGCAGCCACTAAATCCTTCCCCCAATATCCGGGCGCAAGTGCCTCCCCAATTTCTTTCTCCCCAGGTAAGGAATTTATAGTAACTGGTTACTTGTAACAGTAGAGCTACAGCCTTCAGATGAAGCACATCATTGAGGTTACTTATACATCTAACTTAGTCTTGGCTTGATGTTAAGAAATTGAAAACTTAGGTAAGATAAGAAAATTAAAATTCATAGTTAAAAGTGCTTAAAACTCACTGCAGTAGGATTGGCCTTGTTTCTTATTCCAAGGCAGTTGATGGTAAATGCTCACTACCAGTATTTTTAAACCTCAGAGTGGATTCAGGAATCCTGTGTCGTACATAGACTTTTGCAATGTATTTTAAAAACAAAAAGAAAAGAGAAAGCTAAAAGTTTGTGTGACAGGTTGCTTACTTTTTTTCAAGCAGTCTTGTCCTGTGCTTCCTGCCCCCTTGAAAGAGAGGTTTGATGAAGGGCTGTACATTGCATTTACATTGCAGAGCTCTGAGACCTCAGGGTCTCCAAATGCTTTGGACTTGGTGAAGACTTTTGGAGATTCCCTTGAATTCTACTTGTGTAACTCTCAAATAGGGGGGGGGGGGGGGGGATATTCTTCTCCACCTACTCCTTTCTTTTACTATAGCTTATTCAGCATACAAAGAGATTAACTCTTTCTGTGAGGCACTGTTTCTTTGCTCCAGTGACTGCCTGAATGCTTTTCTTTTCCTTTGTCAAGCAGTATATTTTTAATGTGATAATACAGTACTGTGATTACTGGTTAGCTCCATATAAATCACCATTTTAATTTAGTGCAGTCTCTAGCAACAGAGTGGTTGGGGGAGGAACCTTTGTGTGTGTGTCTGCATCTGCACATGTAATACTGTATATTGTCAATCAAGTGAGGTATTCACTCTGCTCAAGTCATAAGATTGTGCATGTTTAAATGTGATGTGTTTAAAAAAATCTGTAATGTCTTTCCCAGAACACCGTTTAAGATTGGTGTTGTACCTATTCCTTTATAGAAATGCTTCTACTTCATCATCTTTTCTCATAGCAGTGCGTTTCTTGAGGATGTGTAACTGGTTTCCATGCAGGTGTCCGCCTCCATGCTCAAACAGTTTCCCAACAGTGGCTTGAATCCTGGTCTTTTCAATATGGGCCCCCAGCTTTCTCCACAACAGATTGCCATGCTGAGCCAGCTTCCCCAGATTCCCCAGTTTCAATTAGTAAGTAGCTGGTAACCTTGTGAGACAAGACTGTTTACAAATTGTTTGCTGAAAGAGCTTTCTTTTTGTTTGTTCTAATTCTGTTTTGTTATAGATCTTGTATTATTTTTGTACAATTATTATGTATTTGTGTACAGAAAAATGTAGTCCTGTTAGACAGCAGCAGATAAACTAAATGAGCCTGTGTAATTGTGATTGTTGTGAGTTAGTAATGATTCTAAGCAATGTTTTTGTACAGAAAGCAGTTTTTATTGATTTTTTTTTCAATTGTTTTCTTCAGACTCGTAGTCATAGTGATGAAACATTTAACGACGTTAAATTAGAAATGGCATATAGTATTCTTTTAATGCATTCATTGTCATTTGAGTGTGTGGAATGTGAAACAGTTTACCTAAGTTGAGCAAAGTATTAGCCTGTGACTAGCTCCTGGCAATCGTATTTCACTTGATGAGCTCTGTATTTTCACTCTTCCCACCCCCACTTATCTTCTAGGCATGTCAACTCCTCCTTCAGCAGCAGCAGCAGCAGCAGCAGCTGTTACAGAGCCAGAGGAAGTTATCTCAAGCTGTGCGACAACAGCAGGAGCAACAGGTGTGGCACTGTTTTTATTAATCATATGAAGTGTAAAGTGTGCTGAAAAAATGCAGTCCGCAGTAAAGACGGCGCTGACTTCAGTAATGTCATCTGCTCTCTTCAGTTTGCACTCTCTTCAGGTTGCACTTCTCAGAGAGCAAGGTCCTTTGGATCTCTTTCAAGTCACTATTTCTTTATGTTTACTGCAATTCTGTGTTACAGTATAGGATATATCATCCCCAGTTTTTTCTTTCACTCACAGATTGCTCGTATGGTGAGTGCCCTCCAACAGCAGCAGCAGAGGCAGCCTGGCATGAAGCATTCGCCATCCCACCCTGTTGGGCCTAAGCCACATTTAGACAGCATGGTACCCAATCCTTTGAATGTGGGTCTCTCAGATTTACAGACCAAAGGGCAAATACCTGGATACGGTTCAGGTAAGTGCTTTGTGGAAACAGATTTGGTACATTGCCTGTAGTTAACATACTAATATGGTAATAGTGTTACCATATTAGCCAGTTATCACACAATCACGGAATTGTCTAGGTTGGAAAGGACCTTGAAGATCATCCAGTCCAACCATCAACCCAACGTTAACAGTTCCCAACTACACCATATCCCTCAGTGCTAAGCTGACCCTACTCTTCAACCCCTCCAGGGATGGGGACTCCACCACCTCCCTGGGCAGCCCATTCCAACGCCTCACAACCCATTTTGTAAAGAAATGCTTCCTAATATCCAGTCTAAACCTTCTCTGGTGCAACTTGAGGCCATTCTCTTTTCTATTGCTTACTACTTGGTTAAAGAGACTCATCTCCAGTTCTCTGTGACCTCCTTTCAGGTGGTTGTAGAGGGTGATGAGGTCTAGATCCAGAAATGAACAATTTTTGTACAAGCACCAGAGCAAACGTTACAACAAGCATCAACTCTTGATCAGATTCCATTATTTTTCATTACATGGCAAGAAGGCAAGCATAATAACAAAGTGTATCTTGATGGGATATTGGCCTAACAAGTTATTTGGATGTTACCTCTTGAACATTTCATCTGCTACTGTTGATTTTTTTTTTAACCTTTCTTCTGATCACAGAAGATATTTAAACCAAAAAAAGTGAATGATAATGGGAGTTTTGTTTGTTTGTTTCACAGGCTTTGGCTCAAGTGGCATGGATTATGGCATGGGAGGGAAAGAGGCTGGAACAGAATCCCGCTTTAAACAGTGGACTATGATGGAAGGGCTGCCTTCTGTGGCTTCACAAGATGCCAATATGCACAAAAATGGTGAGAAGGGGACTGGCTATTTTGGGAATGCCCTTGCAGTATCATCTTGCCAGAGGTGAAATAGCTCAGATGAAACTATGCTAAAAGTTAGTGAATGTCTTACCTCACCCGAATGTATATAAATATTTTTTTAGTATATAATACTTGTAAAGATTCCAACCTTTCCTGAGTATAAATGTATCTTTTTAATGCTTCAGGTGCAATAGTGCCCCCTGGAAAGGCTCGTGGAGGATCACCCTACAACCAGTTCGACATAATTCAGGGTGACCCACTAGGTGGCCATGCAGGCCCTGCTGGTGATAGTTGGTTACCTGCCAAATCTCCACCGACGAACAAGATTGGAAGCAAATCCAGCAATGCCAGCTGGCCTCCAGGTATTACATAAGGGCGAGGATTATGTCCTTTAGAACAGGTGTGCTGGGACCTTTCCTTGTATTTTTTAAGTAACCACTGCAAGGGAAGTACTTAAAGTATCTTCTACATTAAATTAGAACATAAATGTGGACTTTCCAGTAAAAAATTGCTGAGCTAAACATGAACTAACTGCTGAATTGCCTGAGTAGTATTTGGTTTTTGTTAGGGAAACTCTTTATCTTCTGTAGTTTGGTGACTTCACACTTAGAGAATTTTTTATAAGAACTCGTGTTCATAGAATACACAATACCAGCTCCCTCCTCTTGTGTTGATTCCTTATTTATATTGTGTTAAGCTGACATGGGTGTAAAAATTCTGACTGACAGCATGGAATCAGGAAACAAAAGATGTGAAAGCTTGTTTTTTGTGATGGTGGGAACAGGATTTTCTTGACTTTTTGTGTTTTATGTAGCATGAACTTTTCTGGCAATTGTTTACGTATACGATCCATTGCAGACCACAGGGTTTCTTTTTCCAGCAGTATTGGTACAATATGCATACAATGTGTATGCTACACTGTTGTGGTTCACCTTTGCTCACATTGCATAAAAGATAGAAGTGTATTGCCATGTCTCAGTGCTGCTCAGGAATCTTGTGGCTTGAGTAGAAGTTTCTTGCTTTTTGTATTACAGGCAGGGGCATGTTTTTTAAGTCTTCTAGAGTTTCACTGGCAGAATTTTATCTTTCCATTAGAAAACTCAATATCTAGGAAAAATACATATGTATTTGAACACATGTATAATTTTCTATATAAAACATTCTTAAACAGAGTGATGTCCTTGAAGTTGCACAGATTAATCAACAGTGCTGTTCAGCAAATATTGGATGCTGTGATTTTTCTCTGCCTGGAAGGCTCTTAACATTCCAGGAAAACATTCCTAACTGCAAATCCTCTGCTGTGTATCCCCTCAAGCCTAAAAAAAGTAAAGGTGCAGGTACATCTCTTGGGTAAACCAGTAGCACAGACCTTGCATCTGAAAGTCTAGGAATCTGTGTGACACCTACAACTGCAGAAAACCTACAAAAAGTAGTTTAAAGTTTCTGTGGGAACCCCTCAGAGTCTAACTCTGACATGAAAATGTTTTGATGAACTAACAGAGTTAAAAGAATTAGTTATCTCAAGAACATCTGCACGTCCACATTTCATACCACTGACTGCTCTCCATAGAGGTGTATTTGCAATACATTTCTGTCAGCCTGGTTGTTAAGTACTGAGCTTCCTGAGCTAGAGTTAGTGTACATGTCAGATATCTCCAAAATTTAATTTTCTTTCAGGACCTCTCTCATAGACTTGTTGCTGAACTTGTTTTGTTAGTCACCATTTATTGAGAAAAACGGTACTGCTTGGAGTGTTAGGGGAGAGATGTGAGGATCAGCTCTGCCATGTCTCCAAGTTTTGGAGCAGCCACTGGCTCTGGCAAGATTCTTGGTGCTAGAAGGCTGTTAGAGAAGTGAGAAGCCAAATAACTACTCTTTGCCCCTCGTTGATATCACAGAGCTTCCTTAGCGATACTTGCAGTCCCACTGTCAAGTGATAAGAAAAATTTTTGCTGTTGCTGACTGCCTCACCACTGTGAGAAGATAGCTGGAGTTCACAAATCCTGAACATAAACTCTCATGGGGATCATCAGTACCATCCCTAATTTCTTGGGTAAATGACTGTGATTGCAGATGTCATGTAGATCATGGGTTTTGGCACATGACATTTATGCAATTATTGCTGTATTGCTAGCCCTGTCTTACGAGGTTTATAGGCTATTGGGGCAGGTGTTACAGTACTATAACAATCAGCCACTTAAGCTGTCTCATAGCCTCTTTAGTTTATTGGCTCCCTCAAGAAAAGCAACTTAACTGAAGTCATGATCCACCTTATCAACACCCCTGATGAAGAATAATGACCCAAAATGATTTTACACTGTAGGTCCTTTTTTTTCTGCAAGCTTGTAGATGAGGCCCATTGTCATGTCATTGTTCATGGCGTGAAGATACTATTTTTCTTCCTAGTGTTGGAAAATAAGTTGTTAACGAAAATGAATTTACAAGAGAAAACCTCTTGAAATAGGTGCATTTTTCCTTTGAATGAATACAGTGGTCACTCAGCATTCACCCTGACTACACCTTTCGCGTTTTCCTCCTAAATGCCATCTGCTGCAGAAATTCTGCCGTTCAAGAGAGCAGTATTGTTCAGCACAAAGATAAATGAAGTGGTGCCCAATCAAACTGATATCACAGCTGGAGGTGAGAGCAAGTTTTGCTGCATTGGTGAGAACTCTATCTTTTGGTTATGTCACACAGACTTGCATACCTAGGTAATACTAGACTGTAATCTTCCCATTCAAGAGCAGTTCAGTCCTATATTCCAGTCAAACTGGCCTTTGTGTGTCTGTCATGGTTTTCCTAATAATCTTATGTTTGAAGATTTCGAGAGGACCTTTCAAATATCAGTGGAGAAATGCACTTCATGTTTTCTTTACTAGGTAGAAATAAAAGAGCATGTCTCTAGGGAGAGTTGATGAATGTGCGTGAGAATACCTGTCAGTCCCAAGGAGTAGTCTGAAAATTTGTCAGTATGCTGAAGTTCAAGGAAAACTCTTCTCCAGACTAGGATTATATTGCTGAGTGAATGTGTTTATATACAGTAGGCCTGATTTTTGGAGCCTTGTTTGAATATTCCTTAACTCTTTGTTGAGAGCTTACTATGCACTTAATTTTCAGTCTCACCAATTCTCAGAAATCTTTACAAAGGCAAGACTTGGACTTAGCTTTTTTGAGGTTTTTTGCACATAAATTCTAATTTCCAGGTCCTAACGTATGTTCATGGATTCTTTATCTCAGAATGGAGAAGATCTTTTGACTAGACCCAAGAGCTGCATTGCTTGTTCCTTAAGCATAAGGTGGTCCTGTTTGTCAGAGAATTGCAGTATTTTGACAGCAGCTGAGCAGATTCCTTCCTTGATGCAGTGCTGATTGCTCATATCATTAGAAACATTGATACCTGGTATCCTGGATGATTTTGTTGAGTTACTGAAGTTTCGGAGATGTGACTGAGGTTTACCAAATCATGAAGGTAGTCAACAAGATAAATGCAGAATTGTAATTCTGTGAATCCTGCAACCATGGTGCATATGCTGGACTTAAGAGGATATAAATTTTAAATAAATAGAGCTTTTTTTTATTTTTCCATCAGAAGGGGTGAACTTCTGGAATATGTTGTTTTTACAGCTTCTGGAGACAGGTGATACTAGCCAGTTGAAACAGTGATTGGATAAACTGATGGAAGAACGGTTGCATAAGCAGGTGCTAGCAGGTAGAAGGTATTTCTGACATCCTCGATAGGAGTATGGATGCTGGGAGAGTGTGAGGGCAGTAGCCTACAGATAGTGGTCAGTCTTGTCTTCTGTCCCTAAATGGTATCTCTCCTACCACTGTTAGCAGAATACTGGGCCAGATGAACCACAGATCTGACCCAGTGGGGCATTGCTATCACAATCTAATGCTGCCCTTGCTGTGCCAATTTTTTGAACCAGTACTATTGCATTTTCTTCGGTATTTGTCTGCGAAATTCATAGTCTACACTGCTTCATTACAAAGGTGACTGAAATTAACCCTTCCATGTCAAATTCACCCTACATGATTTCATTACAGATAAGCACATTCTGGATCCTACTTTTAATCATGGATTTTTAATTACACTCAAATGTTCTGCCATTAGTTGTTTCAGAACTTCAGCTTGGGAATAAAGGTATCATTCCATATCCTGAACTTGTATTCTGTAAGGAATGAATCTGCCACGTTGACACTCTTTTCATATTTACCCAAATTGTCACGTAATATCTGAAGCATCTTTACTTGGTTTTGTGTTTGGCAGTTTTGCTTCCTTATCATTGCCTCCAAAATTGACCACAGCACTTTATTCATTGAATGTCTACTTAGAGAAGGAACCAAGTTACTGGTCCTTCTTACAGTAACTGGAGTTTTTGTTGTTCATACTTTATATAACTCATCCTCTTGTCTTAAAAATCTGGCATGCGTGGAGCTGTAGTTGAAAGGAAACTAAAGTATAATATATTAAGGAAAATAAAGCATAATTGTGAAGCATGAAGAACATCAATGAGTATATATGTTATTTTTATCACAAAGCATCTCACCGTAGCATTACCTCAGTATTGATAGGTAATGTATAAAGTGTGTGTGTGTACCTACAGTGTAAAGTGTCAAATGTGTTTACAAACTCTTAAGGTAGGTGGCCTTTCCTCAAGAAAGTCTTCTGCACACCTGCAGAGTGTGTGTGCAGAATCTAATCTTCTAATTCATAATCTAATCTCATATATCTTGAATATATAATGTATTAAGGAAAGGTAAAACTGTTGAAGCCTCATCTGAATGTAGTGAAACAGGAACAGTCAAAAAAGTACTTGTATGCACTTCAACCACTTTTTTATAATGTAAACTTGTATTCAGTCACCAGAGATAGTGCAGGAGGAAATGTGAAATTTTTAAAAGATATTAATTAGGAAAAGCTTGATTTTTTTTTTTTTTTTTTCCTGAGGAACAGTGTAGAAGACAGTTATTTACTGTCCTAAAATATCTTCAACAATTACTTACAGTAAATGGCATTTCACTGTTTGCATCTAATTCCTTTTTCTCTCCTGTCCCAGAGTTCCAACCAGGAGTGCCATGGAAAGGTATACAAAACATTGACCCTGAATCTGACCCCTATGTGACCCCTGGAAGTGTGCTGGGGGGGACAGCCACATCTCCCATTGTAGATACTGACCACCAACTTCTGCGGGACAACACCACAGGTAAAACAGTGAACAACAGGTGTGTGGTTATTTCAGTTGTTCTCATATTTGAGAATAATCTGATGTTCCTGTCATAACAGGGTAACAGTCCATTGCATTTAACTAAGAAGGAAGCCTGTGTGCCTTTGCACTGTGACTGTGTATAATGTGAAAGTTTGACATTGGTACAGATCATGGTTCTCTTGAGGTTTAATGGTATTACAAAATCTCTATGAAATTGGCCTACTCTTTCTCTCTCCTTTTTGCCTTGATAGGGTCTAATTCTTCCCTCAACACCTCGCTGCCTTCACCTGGTGCCTGGCCCTACAGTGCCTCTGACAATTCCTTCACCAACGTTCATAGCACTTCAGGTATGCAGGTTCCAAAACTTACCTGGACAAAGCGTTTTCGACTTACTTGCTAGTTCTTCATTCTTGTCTCACTTTGAATATTTAGCCTTTTAGTAATTTCTATGGAACTCAAAATTTGAGTGGCTGATCAGATATTTTTCCTCCTGGTGATACAATACTCTTGTAGTTGCTTTAAAAACTAGGCTAAGATCCTCTGTCCTTCCTCCCACTCCTGATATAAATTCTTAGCTATGCAACTTAAAGAATAGGGGTAGCAGTGAGCAGCAGATGCAAAAGGGGGGGGAAGAAAACATGCACAATCTGTTGACATGCGTAAGGGATTGAGGGACTGTCATCATTTTTTAAACATACCTGTTCCTATATGTATGAGTTAAGAAATTGAGTAATAAGGTGAGTGATTTTGTTTTAACATTAGGATATTGGAGTGCTGTGAATTATTTTTTTTGCCTTGCCTTTTATAGCACTCACCATTCCCTGAAACCTGGAGAGAGAGAGAGAAAGAGGGCTTTTAGTCCTCTGGCTTTTAATCGTTGTCCTGTAAATAGTAATTTAGATATCCGCCTCAGATCCTTGGTAAGAAGGTCTCCAAAGCTTTCTTGTGATAAATGGTTTGTGCTTGCCTCAAGTGGGATGCTGGAAATACTTGCTCCAGACAAACCATTTCTATTTTGAACTTCCTACAAATGCCACAGTTTTCTCTTGAGACATCATTGTCTTGACAACTGCTCAAAACTGAAGAATTTTGTGTAACTAGCAGAAGTGATGAACATAGATGAGAGGTGCATCTGGCCCAAACTTTGGGTTTTGCATCTTACCTAACCTGTGTTAATATGTTATCTCAGCATCTTCACAAAATGGGTTGAAAATCCTGTTTAGCCCTCAACAAAAACAGTTTTCCTGATGCTAGTTTGTGGAGTGACTTTGGTTTGAAGCAATATCTGTGTACGCAGCAACTCAGTGACATAAAAGATTTATCTTTCGTAGCCTAGGGAAAAGAGTGGCTTGTATCATCTGCTTAACTCTCCTAAATTTTGTCTAGCACATAAGAAAGACCCAAGAGAAAAAATTATTGGAGTCATAGTTGAATTGAGGGAACTGGACCACTGCCTGGCACATGTAGCATTTCTGCTCATGTTATTGAACTGCACGCCAGTGTTTTGCAGCCAGAAAGTGGGTCATCTGAATTGGGGATTTAGAATTCACGTATATGTAAAACAAACTGAGTTTAGTGAAAGCAGATTTAAGTGCTTCCATTTACTTTCATAGGTTAGTTCTTGTAACTTGCTTGCTGTTGACAGTTATTCTGTCATGGAAATATAGTGATCCAAGGGTAAAATGAATCACGTTTTTACTTGCTGAAAGCTTTATGGGTTTGATTCCCAAATGTATGATTTGTAACACCCTGGCATATTGTAGACCTGGATGTTTACCCTTTGTTTCAAATAAGTAATTTACTAACTTTTGGTAGTGAATAGAGCTTAATGTGTATATTTGCATGCAAACACATGAATTCCGATAAAGGTAATTAATGACATGTGCCTTTTCCTCTAGATTGCCCTGGATGTGTTCAGTGGTTCTCACTACAGAATAAGGGAAACAGAAATTACTCGAGCAGTTTTGAATTTTGATTTGGTTTTCAGTTGGATGATAAAATGTTCCTTGGTATCAGAAAGTGTGGGAGAATTTGTGGTTTCCCTTCTCAAGGAAAACTGGTTTAGGAAATTTGTGATTCATGAGAAAACTTTGATCTTAAAGGAGAACATCTTTAGGAGGTAGAATTGGCTTAGTAGACCAAGAGTGGTAAATATTAATTTCAGTTCTCTGCAAGTTTTTGGCCTGAAGTTTCATTTAAGGTCAGTAGTGCCCAAAACTGTAAGAAATTTTCAGGTTCTCAAATGAAAGGTAGTATGGACATAAAAGCTGCTGTTCGTCTTATTAATGATCGAACATACTGCAACCAGTTACATTATCATAAATTATCTAAGGAACTTTTTTTGTCAGCATATATAAAATAAGCAAAGATCAACTTACATGTATGGATGGTTCTGTGCTTTGTGCCTGTCTTCGATATAAATGTGGTTAAAGGGTTTACAATGATAGTACAGTTAAAGTTTAGTTGCATCTCATAACTTTCTCTAATACATACATTTTATTTTCTAGCAAAATTCAGTGATTACAAATCAACATGGTCCCCAGATCCCATAGGACACAATCCCACTCATCTCTCCAACAAGATGTGGAAAAACCATATTTCCTCAAGGAACACTACAGGGCTGCCCCGCCCACCCCCTGGCCTGACCAACCCCAAACCATCATCTCCATGGAACAGCACAGCAACACGATCGGTCAGGGGCTGGGGGGCACAGGACTCAAGGCTTGCCTCTGGTGAGAAGAATCAACTGATAGCACCATTGATCAGACCTGAGGAGTGTACGTTTTACAGCACTAATGGTTTGGAGGAAAGAAAGTTGCAGTTGTCTGGTAAAAGGAAAAAAAAGTTCCTTCTTGAAATGGAATTTTGCTGTCAGTAATTGGGGTGGAGGGTGGATGGTGGTGGGGAGTGGAATCCCAGGTCCTGCTGCGTGGAATGAATGAAGAGGGCTGAGAGCTGCCAGGAGGGAGTACCTACTGCATGGGGCCTTTAAAGACTAGGTGGTTTCTTTGGGTGGGAAACTCTGCAAAGATAAACTCTAGCAAAAAGTGAATCTTGATGTGAAATGCAAGAAGAGATGTGTTCTTGTTTTCAGCACTGAAGATTAAGCTTTCATGTGCTAGCAGGGCTGATAATGCTGAATTTGTCTGAGATTGAAAGACCTGATTGTAAAGAAAAATGTTTTTCTTTTATCAAATCTGTCTTGTTTGCTCTGTCTTATAATTTGCAGCATCTACTTGGAGTGATGGTGGCTCCGTTCGTCCTAGCTACTGGCTGGTTCTTCACAATCTCACTCCACAGGTATTTTCTGTTGTTGCCTCTGGGAACTTGTTTGCTTTACCGAGATACAGATTTGGATTCTTCAGTTGTTTCTCTTTGAATAAAATCTAACAAAATAAGATTTGTCAGCATATGTAAGATGTGTTTCTACTAAACTGGACTGCAGTCTTTTTTTCTGTTGTAATCTCTTCAGCTAACTATAAGATGTTCCGTTTTTTGCTACATGACGATCATAACTTTTCATTGCCTACAGTTTCAGAAAAAAATATTGCGACAGAAAGATTTTTCTTAGAAGTGAGGGTAAGTTGCATGGCCATAATGTGGAATGGTTTATATCTGTTAAATAGACTGTTCTTTGGGATGTTGTCAATAAGAAAGTTGGTGTAACTGCCAATTTTCACTTTGGTGTTTCCATAGTGAAGCCACAGAATGTTTCCAGCACTCCTGCCAAAACCAGTCTAGTTAGGTTATTTCTGCAAGTATTCTCAGAGCTTGATTCCACTCAGAATGAATTCTGTGGAGATCCTTGTTTCTGCAATCCAAATTAGTCAGTATTCAAGGCTTAGGAAAAGCCTGTATGATTATCAGCAGCACCCTCAGGTCTAAACAGAGTCTCCCCTGTTCAGCAGGATAATCTACCATGCTTCTACTGCAGTCTAAGAAAACATCAATGTGAAAAGAAACACTAAAGTCTCCTTCAGATCACCCATAATGGCAAACTGCTCCCTTCTAGGAAAGACTGTTTTCCTTGATGGTGAAGGAAACAGCAGTGGTGTGATTAAGAGGCACAGTTCTAAGTCTCCTTTGTGCAAGTTAGTTTAATAGTGGTTTAGGATTCATTTAATGGAAGAAGAATATATTTTGGAGGCACGTAAGTTAATAGAAAAAACAAGGGAGGAGATTGTAATTGTCTCTTCCATAACAAATACTCTGTTCGTTTTGTGTCAGTACACTAGAGAGAAGGAAGTGTAAAGGATAAGGTGGATTCAGGGACAGGATCTTCATTTTAAGTTCCTCTGTTTTAATTTGTCCTGTTTATACTCACACACAACTTCCTTTTCCCTCATTTGAAGTTAAATTATATAATAGGGGAAAAGGGAGAAGGAATAAAGTCGCACTTCCTTAAGTATCTGCACATGTGGATTCCATTCATATGTGCCTGTTCCTGTGGCATACCAGTAATGGAATCTGTGTGTACAGAACGCCTTGGAGAACAGTAGTTACTGGAGGTAAGTAACAAGCTGTTGCTGCTGCAAGAGGAATGTAGGCAACAACTGCTGTGAAAACATAAGTTCAGAAGGAATGAGCATTGCAGGGTTTGGCAGGAAGATCACTGTCTGTTTCTGTGACTTACTGCTTCATAAACCACAAAGACAAAAAAGCACCAAAATAGATTTCAAAAAACCATCATTCTAGAGGAGATATTTTCACTTTTGCAAAGAACTTTTAAATACTGGTTGATTTAAATTCTACTGAAATCAGAATGTTGGAGACTAAGTCATTATGGTTCTTTTGGGACAAATCCTGATGGCTGTAGTTGGTGAGAAGCACAAGTTGTATAGAATTACTGGAAAAACCTGCCTACATAAGGATAGTGACAATGTGACATAAGGATAGTGACAATCTCAATGAGATGGGGAAAACTGGACTCAAGCTATAAGTGAGCAGGAAAAATCATAGAAGTATAGAATTGTTTGGGTTGGAAGGGACCTTAAAGATCATCTAGTTCCAAGACCACTGCCACAGGCAGGGACATCTTCCACTGGACCAGGTTGCTCAAAGCCCCATCCAGCCTGGCCTTATACTTCCAGGCTGAGGTCATCCACAGCCTCTCCGGGCAACCTGTTCCAGCGTCTTGCCACACTCACAATAAAGAATTTCTTCCTTATATCTAATCTAAGTCTACCCTCTGTCAGTTTAAAACTGTTACCCTCATCCTATCTCTAGACTCTTTTTGATAAAGAGTCCCTCCCCATCTTTCCTGTAGGCCCCGTTAAGGTACTGGAAGGCCACTATAGGGTCACCCTGGAGCCTTCCCTTCTCCAGGCTGAAAAACCCCAACTCTCTCAGCCTGTTCTCATAAGGGAGGTGCTCCAGCCCCTTGATCATCTTCATGGCCCTCCTCTGGACCCTGCTTGAGCAGGTCCATGTCCTCCTTATGTTGGCAGCCCCAGAGCTGGATGCAGTAGTCCAGGTGGGGTCTTACGAGAGTGGAGCAGAGGAGGAGAATCCCCTCCCTCAACCTGCTGGCCACACTTGTCTTGATGCAGCCCAGGATACAGGTGGCTTTTTGGGTTGCAAGCACACATTGATGGCTTACAGCCAGTTTCCATCCACTACTACTGCCAAGTCCTTCTCAGGGCTGCTCAATCCACTCTTTTCCCAGCCTGTATTTGTGCTTAGGGTTGTCTTGACCCCCCCATAAAATCAGATTATTTTATAAAGCAAAGTCATTGTAATAGGGAAGTCAAAGCATGCTGATTTTGTTTTAAAATTAAATTCTGTCACCTTTACTTACTTCCAACTGCTTTCATTTCCTTTCTGAGGGCAGATTATCTTATTACTGACATGAGGTTAGAATTGAGGTACATTTGGAGAAAAAGTTAAACATCTGTTTTATCCTGGCTGTTCTTCCTCAGATCGATGGGTCAACCTTGAGGACGATCTGCATGCAGCATGGCCCACTGCTGACATTCCATCTGAACCTGACCCAGGGCACTGCCCTTATCCGATATAACACCAAACAGGAGGCGGCCAAGGCCCAGACTGCACTGCACATGTAAGTCCCCGTGTCCGTTCTTTGTTACTACATTAGTCATGAACACAACACATCTGTCCAGTGCCATGATTTGGAAACTCATTTCAAATATCATGGTAGGAAGGGAATCTCTCATTCATTGGCAGAGGAAGAAGAGAAACAAAGATGCCGTTTGTGTTACTTCAATTGCTGGCACAAACTGGCACATACAGAGCTAAGAAGGTGCAAACAGGATGGAATTGTGACCAGTATGCACCTCGCTGTACAATTTTTGCCATTTTATAAAAGCTTGTGAATTGTTTCAGATACAAATCATTCTTATATGTGTAATCCAGATGTGTGGGAATCTGCTGTGGTTTTGAGATATACCTGAAATAGTTTAGTTGAAAAGCTGAATATCTTAGGTTTCCAGCTCTTAAGCTTTTTGGAACAGACTGTATGTCTGGTATATTTTGAAAATGTGAGAGGTTTTGAGACAAAAAGGGGGGGG